TAAAATTACCATCTTGGATATCAAACACTGCATCAGAGAAAAAAAAGAATCTGCAATAGGAAACTGTCTGTAATTTCTGGAAACGTCCAAACTGGTGCAGTGACATCTCCAGAACTTACGAGGCTATTGAAGAAAGCACACAATGTATGTGCTAGGATAGGTTACCTGGCAAGATTTCCTTGCCCACTTTCCAGGGAAGAGATTTGTTGCAGAGGGTGGATCTACCCTAAAGATGTTGGCCAGGTTGACTGACAATCCCCAAGATGACCATGCAAGCAGCACTGTGCTGGTGCCCAGTCCATTTTGAAATCTGTTGGTTGTTTTAACATGTGGGCCAGGTCTCCAGGACCTATATTTGTTGGGACAGTACCCCAAAATTTGGGACTTTCCTGGAAATATAGGGACTGTTGTCCATGTCATCTATGGTAGGACACAAATTGGAATCCAGCATTACAAGTAGAATAAAACTCATTAAACCAGGAAACCATACGGGGAACCCAGTTGAGATAACATTTAGGCATAAAATGGTCTTGTTGAACCATGAGCGGTTTAATGCGATACCAAGTTCATTAATTGTTACCTTTTACACGACCAGATCCTGTCAAACAGAGAGAACAGATATTATCATTAATTCCTTTGATTTAAATGATCTGTCCCACAATTTACATGTACAGGGGAAAACAACCTCTGATTATGGAATGAATCACTTGATATCTCCACGATCACTTCAATATATATGAATGTGCTGCAGTGATATAATCTTGCAAATAAGGATATGGTGAGCAAGTGGATTAGAGAGACATTCTGACAAATAGTAAGACTGTAGGCTTCGGTATTAATGCTTAAGGTGTAATGGTGGTAACTAACCGCTGGGAATAAGATGAGGCAACCAATATTGACATGTAGAGAGGAACATGTTACCTCGGCAGAATAAAACACAAGTCACACCTCAAATATAAAGCATCTACTGTAACAGTATAGAGGTGTATAGATAAAACAGGCTGACAATCTCAGGATTCTAGTCCTCAGCCATAGTGAGCCTGGGGAACCAATGAAATGGCTGCAGTGTGAACCATTAAAGTGTCATACACCGCCAGAAATCAAGGGACAGAGCGGACAGGCGCCACAACTTTGGGGTTAAACTGTTTGTAAACTCTTTAACCCCTTATGGTAACACGCCACCCAGGATCTCCTGGCACCATAAAGACTTAATTGATAAGAAGTTGTTATGGTGCCCGGAATGTTTATTTACACTAGACAGATGCTGTGATACCGCCCCAGAGGGGTTTGTCAAATAGTTTAATGTAAAAACACAGTGCATATAGGTACCTCCATGTAAGGGTTAATATATACCTTCAGCGTATTCTCACTCCTGTAGGATCATACCTTCTAGACTGAACTCCTGGAAGTAGTGCAAGTTAAGATTAAATTAGATTCCCATAAACCGCAAAAGTCAATTTGTACTGCTGGGAAAACTGAAATAAACCTTAACCCTTAATGGAACACTGAGAACACCATAATCACATCAATAGATTTAAGTAGTTATAGTGCCTGGAGCCTGTTGGAGCTGGGTCCCGCGTCACTCCTAGACGGTTTAGTCACTGGAAGAGATGCTCAGTCACCAAAACCATAATCCTTGACATATATTTAATTGGCGTCCAGGCTTCATATGGCCAGGAACCAAGTGCCTCTATTAAACGGTGAGTAAACTAATTAGCAATGATGCTGGACTCCGCACCCATGGACTCTAGGTACAATAAGCACTCCAATAATTTGTAGTGGTTATGATGCCTACAGTATTCCTTTAAATTACTATTATTCTAGTAGTAATCCATTCTACAACCATAAAAACAAAATTAAATTTCCCTCCTGCCTCCACCCCTCCCCCCACTCAGCCCGGGTGAATAAAGGGTATAAAATCCTTTATTTACTTACCTGGATCCCAGGGCCGATGTCTCTCGGTGCTGGGTCCTGACCCCGCCCCCTCTGACTGCCCATAATGAGTGGGCGCTAATGCGCATGCGGGGTAAATGCTGCACGCACATAAGTCCTCAGAGCATGAAGACGTCCAGCATCAGATACTGGACCAAAGGTCCGTTTCGATACAGGAAGCCCTCTAGTGGCTGTCTGTTAGACAACCACTGGGGGCAGACTTAGAGCTGCAATGTAAACACTGCAATTTCTTTGGAACAATGTTTTACATTGCAGCACTAAGTGCAAAAGGGACACTGCACCCAGACCACCTCAATGAGCTGAAGTGGTCTGGGTGCCTATAGTGTCCCTTTAATCTTTACGAGTTTGACTCCCGCCTCAAACAAATGATCCCTAATGATTTAAAGACATGATGTCACCGAGACTGACTTATATCATCATCAGGCAGAGTAAACGCAGTGTAAACCTGCCCAAAACAAATCAAAACAACTGCTAAATCTATTGTGTGGTTTATTACCCAATATTTGGCAAAACACAAATAGCAACATGTGTTACTGAGAAGTCAAATAACAGAATGGCTACTTACCTGCTCAGTCACCGCTTATTTCTATTTAAACTAGTTTGGAGCATTCAGAAACACAGTATGTATAACTTGATCATAGATCATTCAGCACAGGAGTCCCAAAACACGACAAACGTCTGGTGGCTGATACAATCACAGTAAACAGATACCTTGTAACCTGCAGGAGTGAGTGACAAGTGCTGATAGAAGTAGGAATTTAAAGGTGTCTTGTTTCATTGCTCTGTAATATACAGACATCACAGTGCAGGAAACATGGAACTCTCCGAGAGGGAAAGTGCGGCCTAACTCGTGGGCTAGCAAGCACGAAATATACGAATAGGGAAATATTAGCCATAAGGAAGACCTCCTTGCTAGCAGATCCTGGTCTTTAAAGAGATTCCAAGAACCAATACAATTGTAATGCATTTGGTTTTATCCTTAATTAATATGCTGCATAATTTGCATGTTGACATTTTTATGGTTGTGTGTGTATGTCAGTATGTATATATGTCTTTGTGTGTATGTATGTCAGTATGCATGTATGTGTGTGTGTGTATGTCAGTATGTCTTTATGTATGTGTGTATGTGTCTATCTGTATGTGTGTGTATGTCAGTATGTATATATGTCTCTGTGTGTGTGTGTGTATGTCACTATGTATGTGTGTATGTATGTATTTATATATCAGTATGTATGTCAGTATGTCAGTATGTATCTGTGTATGTATATATCTATCTGTGTGTGTGTGTATGTCTGTATGTATGTATATCAGTATGTATGTCAGTATCTGTGTGTGTGTGTATCTGTATCTGTGTATGTGTCTATATGTGTGTATGTCTGTTTCAGTATTTGTTTCTGTTAGTATGTGTGTGTGTGTCTGTGTCCTTTTGTGTCTGTGTATTCCTGTGGGCGGGATTGGGAGGCGGGCACCCGGGGGCCCAGACCTTGAGCTGTGTTAGGGGCCCCACAATTTCTGATGGTGGCCCTGGTTGTTTGCAACTAAAAAAACTTCTGCACCATAAACTACAAACTACAAATTTCCTAGCCACGCTCCCTCACTCCAGAAAAACGCTTCCTTAGCCCAAAATTGATCAAATGGAATTGGTGCCCAGACGGTCCCTTTAAATGTTAGCTGTCTCTGTTAGACGGTCCCTTTAAATGTTAGCTGTCTGTGTTATATTCTCCGCTAACCCCATACTAGAATATATTCCCAGTTACTTTCGGCAGAGTTAAGTAACACTATCAAATTGAAGCAAATACTATGTTTATTCAAATGATATGTAAATCAGAATACTTAAAAGGGACAATCTAAACACCATAACCACTATATTAAATTAAGTGAATTAATATTTTGAGTTGGGGGGGAGGGGGGGCAGAACAGGATATTGCTGCTACATAATAAGGGTTTAATATTGTATTTTGGAAGTGACCGGCACACAAATAATCAGAAACACAGCCCAAGACATAGGTCCTCCTACACATTCCAGTTTTTTTACTTGGCTGAGATTCTACAAATTATCTCGAAAATCAAGCTTTTTATCAGATTTTTTCTTTTTAAGTTGATAAAGTGCACCTTTTCTTTCCCTTATTAACTTAATTGCAAAATCCTGTTACTGGTGTTTGACACGCATATCCTCATATCTGTTCAATTCATTCCCACTAAACTGCTCCCAGCACTCACAGCCGGTCAATGCCAGCTTGGATGAAATTGACATTGATAATGCAGAAGTGCTAATCCTTCATTATCAATGCACCTGAGATGGGGTGGTCCCTGCAAAGCAGTGTATTAAACCATTCCTAATTAATTTGATATATACCTGGGAGAAATTGCAGGAGGAGTCCACCCTAAACACTAGGGGGAGCTGTAGAGATTAGGTTGTTTAGAGTATATATACTGTGGATATTCACTTTAGTTTTATCCCTATTATAATCCTTATAATACTACACTAAAAAAGAAATGCCTAACAAATTAAAAGCTACACAATCAATGCATTAATTATTGTTCAATTAGCTTGCTTCTAGAATTGCCCTGAAAATGTATATTAATCATTTAGTGGTATGAGGATTATTCTAAGACAGTTTTTATATATTAGACCAGGGATGCCCAAAGGTAGATCCCTAGATGTTTGAAAAACTACAGCCTCCTCGATGCACTGTCATTCTAAAGGCATTTTGAAGTCATGCAAAGCATCACGGGAGTTGTAGTTTTAGAACATCTGGGGATCTACCTTTTGGGCACCCCTTTATTAGACAATGCCTCTTTCTTAAATGAATAAAGTTTAACATAAGCCAATAAGAAAGCTAGCCATTACAAATTGCACAGTATGCATGGAAAGTAAATACGTAGAATCTAATCTTAAAGTTTTTACTGCTGTGCCGTACACCTTATATAAAGTCTGGCGAAGAAATATTTGTGCAACATCTGAGGATATGCTTCCTGGTCAGCCCTGCCTCATATAGAACATCCCTCTTGAACTGAAAAGGTTAAATTAAGTTTGACTCTGTACTAACATAGCCAGGAGGGGTATGAGTCACTAGAGACTGAGCCCTCGGGGATAGCTATCTGAAGCAGGTGTAGCTATGTACCTTCATCTCAATAGCACTGGTCAGGGAGGAGAGACCTGATTTTCAACCCAGCCCTTGTCTGTGACTAAATATGTACGGAGTGTCAGCGAGAGATCAACACATTACACAGAGCAGAGAAGAGAGAAAGCGGCAGAAAAGCATAAAACCAACTGAGTGAAAATTGATTAAAAGAACCATGAAAGGAATACTTAAAGTGAAGAGCATGGTCCGTGAAAAGGTGACAATGGCCCCAGGTTGGGACAGTGAAGACGAGGAAGATGGGTCCCCGGGAAACCGAGCACAAAAAATGTTAAGTACTGTGACAGGGATGGTCCAGACCGCGCGCAACCGGCATGGGCCCGACAAGAACGCGGACGTCAGCCATGAAACATGTAAGTGTGCCGGATACCATGTGTTTAGGGACACACGCATGATACTGACAATGGGGAGGATACTTTTGGAAGTGCCTCAAAGTTCTAAAAGTTCAACAATCACCATGGTAACAGAGGAAATCAACAGAAACATTTCACTAGACGTGTGCACAAATTCTACTCAGCTGGTACGAACAAATCAAATGCCTTTTAATCTACACCTGAACGAATAGGGATATATTGAATAAGACTCCACAGCTAAATCCAACAGATCCAGGATCATGTTTAATATGTTCGTATTAGCTGAAAATAATTTGTGCACAAGTGTAATGTCCACTGGTGGCTAACTGACACAGTAAGCATAGTATCATGTATATTATATACACACACACACACACACACACACACACACACACACACACACACACACACTATCTCTAATCTAAAAAAACTATGTAATAAAAAATATCATCTCCACGCAATGCATCTAGTAAAGTAATATATAGAAATTGTTGCTTTCAATCCTGGTTTGTGCAAATTCAATAATGTCATTCATTATAATAACAAATATTAGTGACTTGTAATACTTTACCTGCAATTATCTTATCCGCCTCTCATAAGTGTTAATTATAACAATATTTGTGTCTAAATTGTCTGTTGGCATGGAGGGTCAATCATGATGGATAGTCAAGGTTTGCAGGTTATCGTCATTTCACAGACAAAAAATATTTTCACTTCCTAAAAATGAGTAATCTGCTTTTTAATCAGAAATTCTCTCTCAGACACATACAATCACCTTGTATTGGCGTTTACTACCTGATCCATGCAGGGAAACAGACTCGATAAATCAGTAATAGACGGTAGGTACGGACACATACCTGGTGGAAGCCATTTAAATTTAATTTATGCATCATATTGCCAGTTATAAATACTGTATCCAATGCTCAGAACGAATCTTCAAAAGATGTAACAGAACAAACGAAACATGTCAATTACGCTTACCCCTTTGGAGGTGACCACAGGAAATTATAAATCCGAGGAGGTTTTGGATAGTAATTTCACTTTAATTATAGTTTTCATAGGGCAGACTGATATGCATTGTGAGTATATACATCGAGGGACTATCACTTTAATTGTTTCTATTTGCCATTGCATTTTTTGTATTGTGTTTTTATCACATTCATTTTGCATCATAAATATTCACAATGCTCTTACAATAGATTCATTCAATACATGTTAGCTTATTTAGCACTATTTAATTTGTCTCTCAAATTGGAATTAGTGTAGGACCCACCGATGTTGGGGTACTGTGACGTAGTGGTGGGCTTAATACAATATGGCCGTATGGTGGATTGGAATCTCCATATTTGTTTGCTGAAATAGGTGATTTTAAGTAACCTTATAGACCTTAGTGTTTGTTTTATGTGTTTGTATGTGTGCGCTGATCCTTAATCTGTATTATGTAAAGATTTTGGCAGCACTATTCATGCGATATGCATGTTATGGGAATGTCCCCAATTCTCCTCCCCCCCCCTTTATTTAATTACACTTGATCAGTGATGTTTGCTGGAACACTTCACTACATTTTTTACATTTTGTTTTGTTTTGTTTTTTTAAACAATTTAGTAGAGAGCATGCATTTATTTCCTGTGTATTTTTTTGTGGGGTATATAAAAAAACAGCTGCTGTTTGCAGTTTTGCAAGCTCCATGTCTCCATTGAGAAGTCGCTGTACTGTAATAAATTAATATTATTAATAATAATTTGTTGATCCAAGGTCAGGTACACACACCTAGATGCCAAATGTTGGGAAATAACTACTGTTTCTCTGGGGACCCTCTGTAGGGGTTCCAGTTTAAAAAAAGGGTGGAATTTGTCCCAATAAACCAGTTCTTCTTCACTAAGTCTCGGCTAGTGTTTGGGTTGGACAGTGATATTGGCTATAATCTCTGAGCTATATTCACTTGAGCTACAATCACAAGGGGGTAAAAATTACCTTGGCAGAGACACCCAAGCTACTAGCGGGTAGGACATCACAACGGTGATTCTATCATCTCAATACACTATATAGCAATTTACTTCCACCACATGGCCATATAATGCTTAGATTAAATGGATACTCCAGACCCCTAAAACACTTTAGCTTGATGAAAAGCTTTATGTGTGAAAAGCGTGTGGTATTTTTTACCTGGTTACACCCCCTGGCTTTTCAATCAGACAACCGGTTATGTTACTTCCTGGTTGTTTAGCTCAGTGGAGATAAACTCAAGAGGCAGCAATTGCCCAGAGTACCTGCCTTGCAAAGATGTCTCCTTGAGTTACATTGGGAAGTCTGTGATTGGACAGCCATAGAAAGTCTGGGCGGGGTTAGAAGATGAGGGCTGGTAAAGGCTGCAGACAAGAGTCCTGCAGCTTTTGCAAGTTGATTTATACCCCCAATGAAAAAAATGATAGATAAATGCATGCAGGTTTATAGTCGGGGTATATCTATTAAACAGTAATATTTATTTTGTATTTGGTCAGTGGAGTGTCCCTTTAACACTGCCACAAAGGTGTGCATGTTTATAAAGGGGAATAGTATCTTATCTGGAATGTACCATTAAAAATCACCTAGATTAGTTTTTCATGAGATGGTCTGCATCAAACATTGAAGATGAAGAGTAGATACAGAAACAGTGTTTCATTTCTCCTCTTCTCTGTATGCTCTCTCTATACTGACTGCCAGGTGTAAAGGGCGGAGCTTATAACAATGATTGACAGGGAGCTAAGATGGAGGTGGTTCTCTCTATACTGACTGCCAGGTGTAAAGGGCGGAGCTTATAACAATGATTGACAGGGAGCTAAGATGGAGGCGGCTCTCTCTATACTGACTGCCAGGTGTAAAGGGCGGAGCTTATAACAATGATTGACAGGGAGCTAAGATGGAGGCGGCTCTCTCTATACTGACTGCCAGGTGTAAAGGGCGGAGCTTATAACAATGATTGACAGGGAGCTAAGATGGAGGCGGCTCTCTCTATACTGACTGCCAGGTGTAAAGGGCGGAGCTTATAACAATGATTGACAGGGAGCTAAGATGGAGGCGGCTCTCTCTATACTGACTGCCAGGTGTAAAGGGCGGAGCTTATAACAATGATGACAGGGAGCTAAGATGGAGGCGGCTCTCTCTATACTGACTGCCGGGTGTAAAGGGTGGAGCTTATAACAATGATTGACAGGGAGCTAAGATGGAGGGGCTCTCTCTATACTGACTGCCAGGTGTAAAGGGCGGAGCTTATAACAATGATTGACAGGGAGCTAAGATGGAGGTGGCTCTCTCTATACTGACTGCCAGGTGTAAAGGGCGGAGCTTATAACAATGATTGACAGGGAGCTAAGATGGAGGTGGCTCTCTCTATACTGACTGCCAGGTGTAAAGGGCGGAGCTTATAACAATGATTGACAGGGAGCTAAGATGGAGGCGGCTCTCTCTATACTGACTGCCAGGTGTAAAGGGCGGAGCTTATAACAATGATTGACAGGGAGCTAAGATGGAGGCGGCTCTCTCTATACTGACTGCCAGGTGTAAAGGGCGGAGCTTATAACAATGATTGACAGGGAGCTAAGATGGAGGCGGCTCTCTCTATACTGACTGCCAGGTGTAAAGGGCGGAGCTTATAACAATGATTGACAGGGAGCTAAGATGGAGGCGGCTCTCTCTATACTGACTGCCAGGTGTAAAGGGTGGAGCTTATAACAATGATTGACAGGGAGCTAAGATGGAGGTGGCTCTCTATACTGACTGCCAGGTGTAAAGGGCGGAGCTTATAACAATGATTGACAGGGAGCTAAGATGGAGGTGGCTCTCTCTATACTGACTGCCAGGTGTAAAGGGCGGAGCTTATAACAATGATTGACAGGGAGCTAAGATGGAGGTGGCTCTCTCTATACTGACTGCCAGGTGTAAAGGGCGGAGCTTATAACAATGATTGACAGGGAGCTAAGATGGAGGCGGCTCTCTCTATACTGACTGCCAGGTGTAAAGGGCGGAGCTTATAACAATGATTGACAGGGAGCTAAGATGGAGGTGGCTCTCTATACTGACTGCCAGGTGTAAAGGGCGGAGCTTATAACAATGATTGACAGGGAGCTAAGATGGAGGTGGCTCTCTCTATACTGACTGCCAGGTGTAAGGGCGGAGCTTATAACAATGATTGACAGGGAGCTAAGATGGAGGTGTCTCTCTCTATACTGACTGCCAGGTGTAAAGGGCGGAGCATATAACAATGATTGACAGGGAGCTAAGATGGAGGCACCCAGTGGCAGGATTAAGAGGTGTAGATTTCAACATTTAATTACATTTTTCACACTTCACAGGTTTTTTTTTTTTTTTTAAATATAATGACAAATAAACATGATATTAGAAACCTGAGGAGTGACAGTTCCCCTTTAATATATGGGAAATGAGTTTATCTTGTGTCTTCGTTCTTAGATGCAGAAACAGACAAACATTTTCTCCTGTTATTTTCCTGCACCATTTCTTATTTTAATACAAACACACATTTTCTGTGATTATAAATTATACTCTCCAGCTTCCATCCTCCTATAATCAGCATTGAGGCCGGTAAATCATCAATAAGAGATGAGCGAGATCTGTACACTCCGTCATTCAGTAGAATTATCTACACGTTTATCTATCCTCTACATCTCAGTAGAAAGGTCTGTCTGTTCATGTTCCCACCTTTGATCTGTTTAGAATGATCTGTATCTCTGCTTATATCACATCATCTATTACTATATTGTGTCACCTTAGTAGAAAGATCTGTGTATATCTCTCTCCTATCTGCATATTGTGACCGCATTCCAGTGATGTGCCCACTGCCCACCAAGCTTATCAGTATACAGAGATACTCCATCAGTATAGAATGATCTGTGCCATCTCTCTTTATGCAAAATGGAAAAGTGTTCCATTGACATTGGCAGTGTTAGTTAAAATGTTTTATGTGATAAAGTAGAGTTTCTTAGAATTATAATCCAAACTATACCTAACTGCATTTATATTTTAATGTGTTTTGTAGATAAAACAAAACAAAAACAGTAAATAATGATAATATTATTTTTTTAGTACTATTTAACTATTCATTGGTGAATCCAGGTAAGTTGCATCAGATGCAGATTCATAGGACATGTCAACACTGTGAGTTTTATGTAGCACATGGCTGGAGTGAAGCCTCTATTTAATAATTTAGGTTAAACTTTTCGAATGTTTTAATATTAGGGAAATGTATTTTGATAATTATTTTTAATATAAATATATAAACTTTTTTTTTTTAAATACTTTAATAAAAATATCTTTCCTTCACCTCTTCCAGCACAGACCCATGACTGCTGGTAGTAGTGTGTAAAGGGTCTACAAAGACAGCGAGCATGTAGAGATATGTGATATATCGCTATTTATTGTTCATTACGTTACATTGAGAGAACAGTCACGGCCTACGCTGGAAGAGGTACAATCCAAACACTCTCAATGCATGATAACCATCAATATAATTAGCACATCAATGCATTAAACGATCTGCTTACGCATTTAGTTTTACAATGTTGCCAGTCAAGTTACACCAGAATTCTGTGATATTTCTCCTGATGCTAACATTTAACTGCCAATATGGAAACATGCTTAGCTTTAAATCCTCCTGCGGATGGAAAATATAATGATATCATGTGTTCCGACAAACTGATTGGCCGCCACGTGACGTATTATTATTACAAAGACATTTATTGACTGACGTGGTGAATTCAGAATTGTCAGGAAAGGGTCATTTCAAATACTGGTTGTTACAATGTGCTAAACTGTCCCCTCCGGTACTGTAAGTACTAGAAAAAGAATGCGGATCAGTCACAATGGAATCCTCCTGTTCTTTCCCCCGATGCAGCAATATATCACATCACAGAAATAACGCCTCATTGTGAGACCTGCATTAATAAAGTGCAAAACAAACTCGACATTAACAAATTCATTTTCGTATTAGTGATAATTAATTATTTAGAGGGTTCCGATTTCGCACACCATCTGTTTCAATGATTATTATTTTCCACTTCGGCCGGTTATTACTTGTCCCCGTAGTACTTACTAAGAACTGCGGTCAGAGAATTTTTGTCTGAGCTCGTTAAAGATACAGTAACAGTAATAAAGCTCTGAGAGATGGTTTAGCTCTATATGCACCTCTGACACATGTGGCTTAAGCAGTCCAGAACTCTGTTACAACATGCATAATGGGAATTATGAGTAGAAATTATGCCTGCCATTGGCACACAGTGCGTGCCAGTGACAGATGTAATGAGCTTCTACCTGTGTAGCTTATCTACAAAGGGAAGCTTCAATGTCCCCTCCCTTCCTCCAATGTCCCCTCCCAGACAACGCGCATGCCTGCGTGGTCTACATTCAGATGTTATTGTTTTCATATTTGAAGTCTGAGCACTCACATGCATTCTGAGCCCGGTCCAATTAAATGGTTCTCTATGAAAAGCATTTGATTGGACCTTGGAGTGACGCGGCATGACGACAGACAGGGAGTGGAAATGAGTGAGGAACAACAACCCCTTGTAATCAACCCTCATCCTCCGCCATGTCCCGCAGCTCAGGGCATCCTCTATCACTGGGTTTAGCAACAGCACTACTTCCGGGACAGGCGGAAGGTGATCTGCTGCCATGGTAACCGACCTGATCTCTCTGCAGACAACAGTGTTCTATCAGGCTGAGCTGCCATCACTAGTTCACTACTAATACTGCTCTCGGTGCCAGAGAGGAACGGGGAACTGGTCGTGATGTAGCTTTACACAGGCATAAGGCTATCCTAGACTTAAGATAAGGCCAGGGACTAATTAAAAGTATTTCAAAATATTGGGCAGACTAGATGGGCCGAATGGTTCTTATCTGCCATGACATTCTATGTTTCTATGTTACACTGTGTGTCCCTGAGCTGCAGCAATCACTAATGCAAAATGACTTCAGGGCTGTTATATACAGCAACCTGCACCTCTCCCACTCCTTCGGCTCTCTTTGAAGAGTGCACAGCGGCCCGAGGGAAACATCGCGAGACTTCCCATCCGTGCATTCCTGCGTGTGGCGCAAGTTTTTTTCTCTCTCTCTCTATGCGAGTAAAAGGGAGACCCTGTGTCACGTGACAGTCAAGGGGAACCACAGCGTGACACGTTCGAGAAACTAGAGATTCAGTAATGTTCAGCGGATTTGACCCTTTTCGGCAGCCAAAATTTCAGTTCATTCCTAGGTATCTGTGGGATGGAGTCTGGGAACCAGAGGAGCAATCAAACAAAGTAACGAGTTCTCTCCAAATGGAACCAAAATAATAATATGTTTGAGGAAAGAGGTTTCACTTCTCCACGTCACCTGTCATTTACATAAAGAACATTTACGAACACACAAAATTAAACCTTGCGCTTAAACTGCCACTAAACATCAGCCCCGATACATAGAATAAAAAACAAAAAAAGTTACTTGTGCACTATCCAAAATCCCTCTGCACATTTAAATAACTGGAGATTTTTTGTATCACTCCAATGGCCATTTAAGTGTAAGCTCACCTGCCATGCCAAAGCGAACCGCTTTCTTTATCTATAAGGTGAGAGGGTATTTTTATAACCCCTACACACTTATTAATACTTAATAGGTAACACATGGGGTGGGCGGTTATTGTACATTAGAATTCTAGATATTATTATATAATATTATGGTTCACCGTGAAATTAGTCCAACAATGGCAATTTTCTCATCTAATGCTCTGAAATGTTACAGTGCTGCAAAAAGAAATGGAATTTCATGTAGCGGCAAAGAAGAATGATGTCCCAACTATGATGAGCCTCAAGGACCAGAGAATTAATATTAATTCCAAAAATAATGTAAGTTTCACCTTAAGAGAACACTACACATCTTAAAGGGACACTATGCATTTTAAAGGGACATTACACATTGAGGGTGAATATCTCACTTATTTACCATTTATTAAAGTTTTGAACAATTTAAACAAATTTCAATATGTAAAAGAAAAAACAAAAAAACACTTGATAACTACCTCATCAAAAACCAATCCTGGCCGCCCTTGCTTACATCACATAACATGTTTATTGCTATTAAAAGCACTTAAAGGGACACTGTAGGCACCCAGACCACTTCAGCTCATTAAAGTGATCTGGGTGCAAACTCCCATCACCCTTAACGCTGAGCATGTAATTATTGTAGTTTTTATAAACTGCACGAATTACTTGCTAGGGTTAAGTCCTCCTCTAGTGGCTATCTACCAGACAGCCACGAGAGGAACTTCCGGGTTCTTAGACGACTTTTAGTCTTCTAAACGATACTGGACGACCTCACGCTATGCATGAGGACTTCCAGCGTCGCCGGAATCCACATAGGAAAGAAATGAATAATGCGTTCCTGTGGGGAGATCCTAATGCGAGTGCTACCATTGCCATGCATGCGCATTAGGTCTTCCGCTGGGCCCAGGTAAGTGACTGAAGGGGTTCCTAATGGGTGATCTGAATGTCAAACACTGTGGAAGTGGTCTGGGTACTTTTTGCTGAGCACAGAGGATTTCACTTAGTATCGATACCACATGGCCAATATAGAGGCTCTGTCACCTTCTGGGGCCTTTGCATATTTTAGAGAGACGCTTTTAGGGAGGTGGCTGCAGGACACAGAAAATTATAGTTCTGACTTACCTGCAGCCGCTGCCATCTTCTTCCACAGCACTGTACTCTCGCGCATGCAGAATCCTCAATAGACAGAGCCTTTTTTCTTCTCAGCTACCATTAGTGATCAGTAAGGGCTTGATAAAGTCTGACAGCGATAGTTCTGCCTTTTGTCACATTTTGTCAAGTGTATGAAAAATACATAAAACAAAGTAGTCCCTTTTTTGTCTTATGATATCTTTGACTTTGTTGAAATTTCAGTGAAATTTTGACACAGTCTTTATTAGCATTTGATAAAGATTTTATTTTTTATGAAAGAATTTTTTTACAGGGGTGACAGAGCCGCTTTTATACAGGATACATTTTTATATATTGTCAAAAATTCCATCCCATACTGCTTGGTCTAGAGAAGGTCTCCTGAACTGAATTCTTATTTGTAACCTACAGCCTTTTAAACATATTATGGAGAATATGAGAATACAATGAAAACCACCATTCGCTATAAATCTACCTTTCATCCTGGGCCCTGACATGAAGCACAATTTCCGAACCAATCCTAGAAGCCCACTGTTATTAATATGAGCAATAAACCGAACTCATAAACCCCTTCCTATTAGGAGATTATACGATATAGAGTTTAAAACTCAGCAGTAGTTTCATTCATGAAAAAATATGAAAGAACAAAAAGTTAAAACATTTGCTGTGTTTTCATTGTTTAGTTAAATCGCACAGCTCTTCACTTTGCAGTCGCTGGGAACAATCTGCAAGCAGTATCATTCCTTCTCCATCACAAAGCCCGCGTGGATATCGTAGATAAGGTAAGTGAAATAAGGGCTTTACCCACTAAACCGTGAACTGTGGTAAATGGACAATCGATGGGATAACAGATATTTATTAATAAAATATAGAACTAGGAATGATACATTGAGATTTCTCTAGTATGTCCTGAAGCACATCTGAATACCGTGTTACACATATAATAAAAAAAATACAGTAAATTATAGATACATTGTTATACATATAATAGGAAACAGTAAATTAGAGACATATTGTTACATATAATATATATACACAGTACAATTACAGATACATTATTACACATGTAATAAGAGACATACACAGTATAATTCTAGATACATTTTACAGATATAATAAGAGACATAAACAGCACAATTATAGACACATTGTTACATATGTAATAGAAGACTAATAGGAAACATTGAGAGCTGATTGGCTCCTTTGCTGTTAAACTATTCTGAGAAGAATAATCTGCACCCTCGTATGCCCTCACAATAGTATTGGGGGTCTCCTTCCTCCAGCACCCTGCATCCTACACCCATGTCTTTGAATATCATTCCAAATGTATTAGACCAAAGGGTTGGATTTGCCACGGTCTCGGGATTATCAGGCAGGAAGAGGGCGGCATGGCGAGCGGGGAGACCAAAGATCTGCCTTACCGGCCATCTGTTCTACTGTGCATTGGTGAGGCCAAAAAGGGAGGCAGCTGGCCCCTGCAAGGCCGACACTCGAATAGAGGGAGGCTCTCGCTCGCTTGTACTACATGAAAGTGTGGCCACAGTAACCTCTGATACATTCCCTTGGCAATGGCTGGAAGGAGCTGTCTGCACTGGACCACCAGGGATCAGGTCCCCCCCTCCCCCCCCCCCGCCCTGGCTCATGGTAAGCCTCAGGCAAAGCAGAAAAAAACTTTTGTCCCTTTACCATAGCCACTAACCTCCCTAATACAGCCCTATCCCACTTCTCATCCAATCACCCACCTAGTCACATTCACAATTCAATTATACCGCAAACTAGTCGTATAAATGCAACCAATTGAATACTCCAAACTTTCAAACCTTGTTTATACATATTCTGAGGATGCTGGCCCTGATGGTAATAGGCTGATTAAGGGATTATGTTTTCAGAGAGAATTAGACAGTTTTACTAAAGGGCTAAAACGTGGATATCCTATAATTACACAGCAACACTTAGACATTTCTACAAACATTGCACAAAGGCTTTAAATAGGAGACAATAAAATTAACAAAAAGTAAGAATGGGTTTGCCCCCACCCCCTGCCCACCCTTGACATTACCAGGTGGCCGCATATGTGAAATATTTATTATTTATTACTAGCAATTCATACCTTAGCTCTAACAACACAAAGAAAGCATGTTAATGGATTGGAAAAACATAAAAGAAAATGTACAAACCTGAGCGCACTGTGGACGTAGATACACATTTATCTGAACTATATAGATATTACAAAAATGGCAAAAAAATAAACATATATATATAAGTCCTCGTGCCCAGCACCTGTTGCTCACCGGCCTCCAGCCTAAATGCAATCTCCCAAAAGAGTGCACTCGAGGGACTTATTCATGTGAAATAATAAAGTGCTTTATTTTGCCATACAATCATCCATGTTGTGACAACGTTTCAGTCTCCTAGGGATTTTTCTCAAGACAATGAATATTGGGCAAATCAACCATTAAATAAAACATAGTTGAGTATCATTGGAGGGTGAATGGTGAAAATCATACTAATGATGTAAGTGATGTGTCAAGATTTGAATCACATCATCCACCGAGTTAACCCTTTACCAATGAAAGACCGCTAAAAAGCTCCAAGTCTAAGATCAACAATGTGCAGAGAGTAGAGAATAGAAACTATGCATACACGATACTATATATATATATATATATATATATATATATATATATATATACACACACACACACACACACATATACGTATACATATTCTACACAGTTTTAGACCAAAGATTGTCAAACTGAAAACATGGCTGACAATTCCCGGTACAGTGAATAGCTCTATTTTTTGGAGAGCAGTCAATCAACATAAATTGATGGCTCTCAGTGGGCAGTCATTCTCAACCTTGACCCTAACATGTAACAGTTAGCCCAGCAGGTGTTTTTGCCGTTCTGTACTGGCTCTACAGCATGTGTGGAATGTGTGGCCTCCTCCTTCCTGGGTCCAGAGATGTTACAGGTGTAATGTCTGCCTTTTCCAGAGAATTCTCTAGGAATTAATAACATGTGTGTGTGCCCTGCAGTAGTAAACACGCTACCTGTCTTATACCTGGCCTTTCAAAGAAATCTGTCTCAAAAAAAGCCAGATATTATCTAAACCTTTAGCTTATGCACATCACTCAATGGCCCTCTATGCAGATTGATTAATTAATCCAGGACCTCAGGGCTTCGGTGTTCTGTGTATGAGAACTTGTCCTACAAGTGTAGCTGGTTTGACTGAACGGTATATAAACATGACGTGACCCATTCCAGACTCCATCCTTGGGCATGCAGGAATCTGGTTTCTGAAAGCTCACATCAAGGTCCTGCCATGAACTATGACACCTGAAGACCATAGTTAGATGCCCCTGAGATTTTGAGAAAAGAATAAAATAATTCTAAGTGAACGGATTGCTATGGCTTGAACGTATAGCTCACAGCTGAGATAACCATCTAGATCTTTAGATAAAGCAGCACTTAGTGTCGTTAGCCCTCGGATGGTCTATTATCCTAGACTAGATATCTAAGGTCCAAGGTCTCATTGCTTGGCTGAGGCTCTTCCAATTTCCATTTCACATTGAGTCAGGAAAGACGTGGTGGAAGAATCCATAACTTGTCATTCGGTCTTCGTATTAGAATTATTTATTTAGCGTAGCGCCAACATATTATGCAGCTCTTTACAATTATATAATGGAGATATACATGAACAATATTATGGTATTGGGAGTGGCAGCAGTAGCCATGCAGCATAGAGAGCAGGTGACAGTAGTAATAGTTCAGGAATGGGAGCAATATGAGGCAGCACTAGTGTAGCAGTGTAGTGTAGCTGGTGGCAATACAAACTGAGAAATATGGGAGCAGGTATTGGTAGTATCAGTTTAGTAGTGGGAGCAGGTAATGGTAGTATCAATGTCGTAGTAGGAGCAGGTACTGGTAGTAGCAGTGGAGTAGTGGGAGCAGGTATTGGTAGTAGCAGTGCAGTTGTGGGAGGAGGTATTAGTAGTATCAGTGTAGTAGTGGGAACAGGTATTGGTAGTATCAGCGTAGTATTGGGAGCAGGTAATGGTGGTAGCAGTGCAGTAGTGGGAGGAGGTACTGGTAGTAGTAGTAGCACTGCAGGTATTGGTAGTAGCAGTGTAGTAGTGGGAACAGGTATTGGTAGTATCAGTAGTGGGAGTATTGGTAGGGAGGAGGTATTGGTAGTTTCAGTGTATTAGTGGGTGCAGTTATTGGTAGCATCAATGTAGTAGTGGGAGCAGGTAATGGTAGTATCAGTGCAGTATCTGAGCAGGTATTGGTGGTAGTAGTAGTACTGTAGTGGAAGCAGGTATTGGTAGTATCAGTGCAGTAGTGGGAGCAGGTATTGGTAGTAGCAATGCAGTAGTGGGAGTAAATATTGGTTGCCCTCATTCCAGTCATGTTCATTTTTCCATTCAGATTTCAGTTTACTGTAATAGTGAATAAACTCGGGTGATTTGAGATAGGCTGGAACTACTCCTGGCCATGTGTTAGCTGCCTGTACTTGGCTGGATTTTGACTCTATCACTTGTGGTTTCTTTCAGCATGGCCTGTGTGTACTCCATCTCGCGGCATGGTCTGCTGACCTCACCATCTTCCAAATGTTGATCAAGGCAGGGGCAGATCAAAAAACTACTAATGAGGTTTGTCACTCTCTATTATCCTGATGATTGTGTTCTTTTATTAGAATTACACATCACATATCACCACAGATATCACCTGTTCACATTCCATGACACATTCCGAGAATCAGATCTACACAGTGATCTATTATTGTATCATTGTATAGTGTAAATTATATTACATGGACATGAAACATGCCTGTGGACTGTATTATCCCACAGGATTTAACTTTAACATACTAGTATTGTAGTCAAAATATGACATGGGAATCTCATCCCATCCTATCTAACCCATCCAAACCTGCCCATCTCATCCCATCCTATCTAACCTATCCAAACCTGCCCATCTCATCCCATCTAATCCTATCTAACCCACCCAAACCTGCCCATCTCATCCCATCCTATCTAACCCATCCAAACCTGCCCATCTCATCCCATCTAATCCTATCTAACACATCCAAACCTGCCCATCTCATCCCATCCAATCTAATCCATCCAAACCTGCCCATCTCATCCCATCCAAACCTGCCCATCTCATCCCATCTCATCCCATCTAATAACTAATCCTATCTAACCCATCCAAACCTGCCCATCTCATCCCATCCTATCTAACCCATCCAAACCCCATCTCATCCCATCCAAACCTGCCCATCTCATCCCATCTAATCCTATCTAACCCATCCAAACCTGCCCATCTCATCCCATCCAATCTAATCCATCCAAACCTGCCCATCTCATCCTATCTAACCCATCCAAATCTGCCCATCTCATCCCATCCTATCTAACCCATCCAAACCTTCCCATTTCATCCCATCCAAACCTGCCCATCTCATCCTATCTTTTCTCTTTCCAGCCCATGTCATCTCACCTCATCTCAGCCCATTTCCTTCCATCACATTTAACTTATCCAAATCTGCCTATCACATCCCATCCTATTTCAACTCATCAAAACCTGCCCCTCTCATCTCAACCCACCTCACATCTCATCCCAGCCCATCCATCCAATCCTGCCCATCTCATCAGATTTCATGCCACCTCATCCTATCCTTTCTCATCCCTTTCCAGCACATCTCAACTCACCTCATTCCTTCCCATCTTATGTGGACATCATCCTGACCCATCTCATCCCATCCCATTCAATCTCATGCTATCTCATCGCATCCCATCATATTCCATGCCATTTCATTTCATCTTATCCTATCTCATCACATTCCATTCATCCCATTCCATCTCATTCTAGCTCATCCCATCCCATCTCATTGTATCTCATCCTATCCCATCCCATCCCATATCTTAGAAGGGTTATGTGTTTACCAAAGTTGATAACAAGGAGCACTATGTTTGCAAACAGCAAATTATTTGGTGATGGATTTGGGAGAGATTTGATCCTGCGGTTCTAGCATGATGGTCCATTCTTGGCAGCTTCCTCTGATCTGGTTGTGTTTTTTAGGATGGAATGAATGTCCTGCATTTTGCTGCTCAGAATAATAAGAACGCTATCGTAGACTATCTCCTCACAGAACTACAGCTGCAAGACTTGGACATCCTAGATAAGGTATGCTGTGTCCTATGATTATACGATATGTTTGTCATTTATTTTGGCCGATTTGTTGGCATTGTTGTTTCTGAAATACACAGTACAATAACGCATTTAATATAAAATATACAGAATAAAGTAAATCATATTTACAGAATTCCCCACTGCATGATGGTAAGAAAACTAAATGTCAATTACAAAGTATACAGAGAGGGCAAATGACAGCCCAATGTATCATCGATATATACAGTAGTGGAGGCGGACCCCAGCGGCGCTGGTGTAAAGGTGAGTTATTTATACTGTGCTATAGCATTGTTCACTGGAATGCTTGATATTTGATTTGCTACACTTTGACAATATTCTTCAATGGATATTTCTGAACGGGCACTGTGTATTTCTGAACGGGCACTGTGTATTTCTGAACGGGCACTGTGTATTTCTGAACGGGCACTGTGTATTTCTGAACGGGCACTGTGTATGACTGATCGGACGCTGTGTATGACTGATCGGCTGCTGTGTATTACTGTATATTACTGATCGGGCGCTGTGTATGACCGATCGGGCGCTGCGTATGACTGATCGCACTCTGTGTGTTACTGATCGCACTCTGTGTATTACTGATCGGGCGATGTGTATTACTGATCGGGCGATGTGTGTGACTGACTGGACACTGTGTATTACTGAATGTCTTGCAGGTAGAATGAATGGTTATGCTAACTCATAGCTTTTTGTAGTTGTGTCTGACTTGGAGCCAAGTCTTTCATAGGTTTATGATTCAGAGTGTAAATTGTAGGAAAAGAAATACCTCCCTTCGTGCAAACACAAAACATAATAGATTATTTTAATACACCTTAGATGTGCTGCTTTCACTAAGAGGGGTCAATATTGCTTTATTCAGGGTGTGACGGCGGCTTTTATTATCTGATTCTGTGTGAGGGACTGAATAGCAACAAAAGGTGACACATGCATGCATCGTGATTCAATATCCCCTGTGTTTTCCCATAATCTCACCTCTCCTGCAAGGCCTGCAAAGCTTCATGGGAGTTGTAGTTCCAGCAGAGGATCTGCCATTGGGCACTGGATGCACTATCTATTAAAGAGGAACTGTACATTGTCTGATAGTCACGGACCCTTATTCCCTAACCCTGATAAACGCTATTGGCTGGTAAAGTTTTAAGATGGTGTGGTGTCAGACTCCTCCCCCAGAACGTTACTCCTCCCTATACAGTACAGATATACTCATACAATACAGAGAACTGAGCATAATACAGAGATACTCATACAATACAGAGAGCTGAGCATAATACAGAGATACTCATACAATACAGAGAGCTGAGCATAATACAGAGATGCTCATACAATAAAATAAGCTGGACACAACATAAATATATCTAACCACAAACAGAGCTGAGAAAAATAGAGGTATAATGCACATAGCTGGGCACAATACAAAGATACCTATACAATACACAGAGCTGGGCACAATACAGAGATACCTATACAATACAAAGATACCTTTACCAATACACAGAGCTGGGCACAATACAGAGATACCCACGCAGTACATGTCTCTGTATAATTAAACAGCTCTCTTTCTGTCTATCTTCCCAGCCCTCTCTTACGTCCAAGTTTCTCAATCTGTGATACGTGTACCCCAGAGGGTAGGTGCACCACAGACAGCTGGCCAACTGGCCACCTTGGCATCCCCCAAGAGGCGGCTGGCAGAGGGAGAGACTGTGAGGGAGCTGTGAGAAAGCAGTGCTGGAGAGCACAAAGATTACACAGGCCCCACACTAAACCCCAGGGAGGTAGGGAGAACAGGTGACATATGGTGCATCTGTGAGAGTGCGTACATGTTTGCAAGTATGTCAAGTCAGTGAGTGTGTGTTTGTCATTGAGTGTGTGTCTGTCATTGAGTGTCAAGTCAGTGAGTGTATCTGTCAGTGAGTGTCAAATTAGTGAGAGGGTGTCTATAAGTGTGTGTCGAATCAGTGACAGACAGTGGACACTGACATACACACATTTACACTGAGAACACTGGCACACGCACAGTTACACAGAGAGGAAATAGACAAACACACTTACACACAGAGGACACACTCACTGACAGACAGTCACAGACTCTTAAATTTGTCAGGGCCTCTTAACCGTGCAATGTAAAACATTACAGTTGCAGAGAAACAGTTTCTGTTAGCTCTCCTGATCTAAGGCCTGCAGAGGCTCAGAGGCCAGTGAGTTAAGTTCTGCAACACCGAGCTTAGCTCTGATGGAACTTCCGCCTCTCTGTCAGCTGTAGTGGAGGCGGGGAGCAGAGCCTGACTGACTCCAGGTAAGAAGTCAAACTACTCTAAAACATCGGGGTAACATCAGGGTACTCCTATTCTAGTGCCTGGGCCTGCTTTAGTGCTTATGGTGCTTGGAGTGTTCCTTCAATAGGCTTGCTTGAATAGACTTCTTAAAGGATTGAAGAATGGAAGAGAGTCTGATGGGGAACCAGGCTGTTGCACAAGAATAAAGCTGGTATTGAAATCCAGATAGGACCAGCTCATACAACCTTGTCATAAGTTGCTTTTATTTATAATATCCATATTCTTTCAAATTACTGTATGTAAATTATTATATATATAATAGATGCTATAAAATGTGAATAAAAAAATTTTTGTTCAATGTTTTGCTTAAGAAAGGCAGGAAACCATTTCATCTGGCAGCTGAGGCAGGGCACCTGGAAATGATCAATAATCTACTGACCTTGAAACTGTTCACACCTGAGAAAGATAAGGTAAGTCCCCAGGTGTAACAATGTAACAATAACTGCCCAACCAATGGATCCCATTGTTCCTTTACATGTGTCAGGTAAATACCCGAACACAGTGATGGCTAATCAAACGTCCCTATTTCATTGGGTGGGTAGTTTCATTAATTTTTCATCAATTAATTGCATTTGTGCTTTCTGTACATCTCTCTCATCTACCTGGATCCTAGAAAGCTCTGCGCTGCTACTATATATATTTACCAAAAAATGGAAAGCACTTCTGGGTCTTCCTACATATGACGCAACTTTTATTCTTATATTTTATTTTAGACCCAGGAGTGCTTTTTATTTTTTGTCAATTGTGTCTACTATCCCCTGGATGAAAGCACTGGGAATATGGATTTATTTGGCCCCAGAGTGCAAACCCTTTTGGATTTCTACATATTGTTTTAAAGGGGAACACTGGGCATTATAATTACTACAACCTAAAAGCCTAGTGTTGTGGTCATAGTGCAAAGAGGCTATTTTACTGCGTGTTTTTGTCAAACCTTTTGGCAGCAGTGTCAGCCTATCACTTTTGGCTATGGCCTCGATTTAATAAGCTTTCCAAATGATTCATTATTGTTAGAGAAACGTATTGAATCATATGCAAAGCTTATTACATTGAGGCCAATGTTGGATGTAATTCACATTGAACTGATATTGGCAATGCTTTCCCATAATGCATACACCAAGTAATCTACACAGATATTTGTAAAAACAATGACAGGCTTTTATAACATATCTTTGAAACATGCTACAACTGAGTTGTTGTTTTTTACTAAAATGAACATTTTTGAGAATTCAAAATCAATTGAAAGTGAATTTCAAATTGTAGGCCACAACATCTGGATTTAGCGTAACTGTTACTATTATGCCCTAAAAGTTTGAATTCAGCCCAGTGAATTTTCTTAACAATTCTTTAAAATGCCATCTAATAAAAGGACTGTACAGAACACTGAGTTGAATTATTTTGAAATAATAAGTTACTGTATCCTATCTGTGAAGAGGCTCCAAACTCCCCTAGTTTGCTGGCTCTGTGTGTGTTCCATAAATTAACCACATTAAGGATTTAACTTTACATCCACTGCTGAAAGATTTGTACGCACTTCGAATAACTTCTCTTTAATCTTGTTCTGTTTCACAGGAGGGTAACACTGCCTTGCATTTGGCAGCAAAAAACGGACACAGAGACGTAGTGGAAATTTTAATAGAGCGTTATGAAAATATTGATGATCCTAATGAGGTATAATTTACATGAACATCTCAGTCACTCTCCTTGCGGATTAACCATTTTTTGCATGTGGCTTGTTGGATTCGTTTTCAGCATTGCCATTTGACATAATTTAACAAGTCTGTCATCAAGCGATTTACTATTGCATTCAAAATATGGTTTGTCCCTCGTAATGGCCATTATACAATATAAACCCTTTAGGTCAATGTCATACCCCAATAATCCAGCACTTCACTCATTTTAGTTTTTTAGGTATTTCTTACAGTTATTTTCCTTCTCTTACATTGGATATCCTCTTGTCTCCTCCTTGTATATTATTAGGGAGAATGGTTAAAACGAGATGTTGGTACAGGAGGGACTGGTTAAAGTAGGTGTTGGTACAGGAGGGGACTGGTTAAATTAGGTATTGGTACAGGAGGGGACTGGTTAAATTAGATGTTGGTACAAGGGGGACTGGTTAAATTAGATGTTGGTACAGGAGGGACTGGTTAAATTAGATGTTGGTACAGGAGGGGACTGGTTAAATGAGGAGCAGGTAAAGGCGGGACTGGTTAAATGAGCTGTTGATATAGACGGGACTGGTTAAATTAGGTGTTGGTACAGGAGGTGACTGGTTAAATGAGGTGTCGGTATAGAAGGGGACTGGTTAATTGAGGTATTGGTATAGGAGGGGGCTGGTTACTTGAGGTGTCTGTATAGGAGGGGACTGGTTACTTGAGGTGTCGGTATAGGAGGGGGCTGGTTACTTGAGGTGTCTGTATAGGAGGGGGCTGGTTACTTGAGGTGTCTGTATAGGAGGGGGCTGGTTACTTGAGGTGTCTGTATAGGAGGGGGCTGGTTACTTGAGGTGTCTGTATAGGAGGGGACTGGTTACTTGAGGTGTCGGTATAGGAGGGGACTGGTTACTTGAGGTGTCTGTATAGGAGGGGGCTGGTTACTTGAGGTGTCTGTATAGGAGGGGGGTTACTTGAGGTTATAGGAGGGGGCTGGTTACTTGAGGTGTCTGTATAGGAGGGGGCTGGTTACTTGAGGTGTCTGTATAGGAGGGGACTGGTTACTTGAGGTGTCTGTATAGGAGGGGACTGGTTACTTGAGGTGTCTGTATAGGAGGGGACTGGTTACTTGAGGTGTCTGTATAGGAGGGGGCTGGTTACTTGAGGTGTCGGTATAGGAGGGGGCTGGTTACTTGAGGTGTCTGTATAGGAGGGGGCTGGTTACTTGAGGTGTCTGTATAGGAGGGGGCTGGTTACTTGAGGTGTCTGTATAGGAGGGGACTGGTTACTTGAGGTGTCTGTATAGGAGGGGACTGGTTACTTGAGGTGTCTGTATAGGAGGGGGCTGGTTACTTGAGGTGTCGGTATAGGAGGGGACTGGTTACTTGAGGTGTCGGTATAGGAGGGGACTGGTTAATTGAGGTATTGGTATAGGAGGGGGCTGGTTAAAAAGGTGTTGGTACAGGAGGGGAACTGGTTATATGACTTCAGCCCTTTTGTGTTTTTACAGAACCCCATTTATTTTCTGCTTCGTACACTATTTGACTAAAACTTTGCTGCATTTCTAATTAGAATGGAGCCACGCCGTTTTACTTAGCAGTTGAAGGATGCCGTGAAAAGCGCATGGATCCGCTACTGATGGCGGAAAGTGATAACCCTACAACACACGTATGCCCACAGGTACTGCCCCTATAAATGCAGGAGTGTGTAATAAATGTCTGAGCAATGCCCTGCCTACGAATATATTAATACTTGCAGAGACAGCTGTAGTGGTTATGGTGCTTGGAGTGTATCTTTAAACAAGTTGGTGGCACAGAAGGGGGAATGATTATTTAACTTCAGTACTCTGTGTTATTATAGAACCCCGCTTATTTTCTGCTTTATCCAAATACACACTTTGACTAACTCCCTGCATCATTTCTATTTAGAATGAAAAAGTCAAACAATGCCATGAAGCGTGTGCGGAACTTCTACTGACGGCGGGAAGTGATATTAACACGACAACACACGTATGTATATTTAAATTACAGTTCATTAAAGGACCACTATAGTGCCAGGAAAACATACTCGTTTTCCTGGCACTATAGTGCCCTGAGGGTGCCCCCACCCTCAGGGTCCCCCTCCCGCCGGGCTCTGGGGGAGGAAGGGGATAAACTTACCTCTTTCTCCAGCGCCGGGCGGGGAACTCTCCGCCTCTTCGGCTGAATCCGCATGCGCGGCAGGAGCCGCGCGCCCATTCAGCCTGTCTCATAGGAAAGCATTCACAATGTTTTCCTATGGACGTTGGCGTCTTCTCACTGTGATTTTCACAGTGAGAAGTGCGGAAGCCCTCTAGCGGCTGTCAATGAGACAGCAACTAGAGGCTGGATTAACCCTAACATAAACATAGCAGTTTCTCTGAAACTGCTATGTTGATAGAAAAAGGGTTAACCCTAGCTGGACCAGGCACCCAGACAACCTCATTAAGCTGAAGTGGTCTGGGTGCCTATAAAGTGGTCTGGGTGGTCCTTTAAACTGGAAGCAAGTCCTCTGAAACCTTTGCCATGCCCATAAAGCACTGCTTATTACATAACATCAGATAAAACCTATTGTAGAAAGAGATTCTCATGACTAGCTAACTCTGCCTTTGTGGGAGCTCACTGCAGAAGCTGCAAAGTCTGGAGACTTGCAACAAAAAGAGGAAACTTAAATAGAGGAAACTTAAATATGACAATCTTTCTTATATTCTTTTACTTTAGTATATTTTTCCACTACTACTCGTAATGCAAAACTTATATAATCCACTATAAAAAAATGGTTTAACGTGTCTGGAGGGGCTAAATATTTAATATCTATTAAAAACTGATCCCATTAATGTTTTTGGTTTGTTAAGGACGATTATGGAGCGTTACATATAGCAGCAGAGAATGGTTGTATAAGCCTCGTCCGCTTTCTTATAGAAAACAATATTGACATGAATCCCAAACCTGACGTAAGTAAATCTGATGATTAATATTTTACATAAAATTTTATATCGTGTTAAAGGTGGAGCTGTCACTTCCCAGAGAAGCGCCTATAACTTGCATTAAACTTTTTTTCATAAAATGTTTTCTTTTGAATGTATATTAAAGATTTAGCAAATTACGTCACAATTCCTCTTCAAAGCAAATCAGTTTGCATTTTATTTAATTAGAAAATATTTATTTAAAAAATTTGAGGAAAAGCTAACTGTATAATTTTTTTCAATCGAATATTCCTAAAATTAAATGTATGTATATTCAATTAGAAAAAATCTAATCTACAATTCGGGACTTTGTTTTCCCTAAACCACAAGTTGGTTAAAGCAGACCCCGGTTTATGAAGACTGACCTGTGTTTCCAAAGTTTGGTAAATTTGAAATTGACAATTGTTGTATATTTGACTTTTGCGTCTGAGTTGTCAATTTCACTTTATTGAATAAACGTCCTGTTTTAACACGATTCCTACCCCATTGCATGTAGTGATGGAGCAAAGTTCAAATTTTAGCCCAAAATAACTTAACTCAAAACATATTTACTTGACATTTTTCTAGCCTGACAATTTTTGCCTCAATTTTAAATTTGCTTTTTCCCTCCCCCCCTCCCCAATTTCTACCCTCCGACATATTTTGGGTGCAAGTGTCTTTAATACGAATAGAACTAGATGTAGATGAATATTTTTATGCAAATTGGGAAGGTTTATGAATTTGTATGAGTCGTTAGGAAACTTTGTGGATTATGCAAATAGTAAAAGGATTAAATACTTTCTCAGTCGCTTGATCTGCGTCTTATGTCTGTCTTTTTCCATTCAGGATAAGAACCCTCCGTTACACCTAGCGATTCTAAAGGATCACATGCCCATAGTGGATGTTCTTCTGGAGAGTGGATATAACTTCAATGCCATCAACAGTGTAAGCACAGTTTATCATCATTTAACAGTAAATTGGAGAGATGGAATGGTGGGGTATATAAATAACAACAAAAATAACTTATAAATATAATAAACAATTAATTAATCATTAACTCTACTAGTGCTGTATAATTTTAGATTTGTGTAACTACGTATTCTGTATAATTGTATTACTTAGATTATATGTGAGAGTTGTCAAATACAGACCTTCCAACTGTCCTGATTTTGGCAGGACACTCCTTACTTTACTGTCTTGGCTCACTCTCCCAAATCTGTCCCCTGGTGTCCTGTATGTGGGGACACCAACCAGGTAACTGACCCCCAGCAGTAAAGCACAAGGGATGACTAGAAACGCTCGAGCTGACTGCAGTGAGACCATGCAGAGAGCGCTACAACAGTGCTCTCTGCATGGTCAATATCTCATTTATTACAGCATAGAATATTATTTCATTATTATTATTACAGCTCATAGCGTTCTTACAGCTAAGGGTTATATTACAGCCTATTGTATTATTACAGGTCATTGTATTAATACAGATTAATATATTATTACAGCACAGAGTATTATGACATTGTTATTACAGCTCATCATATTCCTACAGCTAGGTGTTTTACTACAGCTCATTGTATTAATACAGATTAATATATTATTACAGCACAGAGAATTATTAGATTATTACAGTTTATTGTATCATTACAGCTTAGTGTAGTGGTTATGTTGCCTCTGCGTGCTGTACCCCCCCTCTCCCCCCCATTGAGGAGCATTATGACAAAATATGGAGTTCTGCACAGCGCCTGGCGACAGCACCCTCTTTGGCTAAATGTATAATGTAGAAATAACAATCGATTTCAGGACCCCAAATTTTTACAGATCTTTTCTCCTTTGCAGCACCAGTCTCAGCGGGGAAGCATCGCCACCTAGGCTGAGATCAAAGAAAAGCATTGGGAGACTAGTGAGCATGTGCGGCAAAACACCACACTGCGCCAATCAGATCTCTCTGAGTGATTTACTCTGCTATATCATTGGAAGTACCTCTAGTAAATGTCTTGGTGACAGTCATTAGAGGCATTTAAAGCTGCAATTAAAACAATGACGTTCTGCAGAACTGCAATGTTTTCATCTGCAGTATTAAACGGGGGTGGAGGGGCAGGGGCATGGCACCCAGTCCACTTGATTGAGATGAAGTGGTCTGAGTGCCTATAGTGTCCCTTTAAGAATATTAATTTCCATCCTTGACAGCAATGATAGGCTGAATGCTGATGGGTCGGATTAGCTGAGTGTGGGTTAGCCGATCAGACTGCATGAAAATTTACATTGATAATGCAGTATAGAACAGTGAATAGTATTTTAACTGCATTATATACAAACTGTGAAGTGTTAGTATGATGGGGGATACGATCAACAACCCTTTAAAGATTAACAGCCAAAATGGAAGGAAGCTGAAATCAAAGACCAGTTTGAAATGTAAAAAACTGAGAAATGTAAAAGTATGCGGCTGTCACGGAGTAATACCACAACACGCAGAGGTTAGGATAGCAAGGGACAAGACTAGCAAATAACATATTACCAGGCCTTAGAATGGCCGGACTAAACGTTAGACAGAGAAAAGGCGTCAGCAAAGACAAGCCAAGGTCAAGGTAACAGAGAGACAGCGAAAAGGAGAACTAACCAAAGTCAGGTACACGGTAATCAGTCAGACGGGCAAACAAGATAGGAAAGGGTTAAAGATAAATTCAGAGTCAGATACAAAGCCAAGGTCAATATCAGAATAAACACAATAGATCAAAGAACGCACTAAAGGGTACTGAAACAGAAATCACGATAGGGCAAAGTGGTTAGGGCTAGGAAATTTTAAATATCCTTAACTAACATTTGATTGGCCCACGTCTTGCCCACGCCCCCAAAACGTGCGTGTGTGGGGGCGTCGGAATGACGTTGGCCAATGGGAGCCTGCCCCTTTAAGAGCGCGCTCATGACGCGAGCTGCGCTCCTAGTGCTGAGGACCCCAGCCGGCCTCCGTATAAGGTAAGTACCGCCGCAGTGGTGCTATGTAAGCATCACCCTTGTTATTGTTACAGTTACAGGATGTTCCATCGATTGTAAGTAACATTGATAGTCATCCCAGGCGGCCCTAGGCAGAACAATAATATGTAACACAGACATGATGAAAGTACTTTGTGGGTTGAGTTTTTGTTGAATAGAGGCGGAGGATCCCTGGAAACCAATAGACAATAGGCAAAACAAGGCCATGGTGTATAGAAATAGGTGAGGCCTTCTAAAGTGGAAGGAGCCTTTCCTTTTTGACTTTGATGTATCCCTAAAGAAAGGAGGGTCTAATAGTGCTGAAAAAATGGCTGGTGGGATAATATATTTGATTGTGTTTCACTTGTATTTTAATACAGAGACAGCAAACTACTCTACATCTCGTTGCTGAAAACAATAACATAGATCTGGTGGAAAAACTTCTCAAGATAGGATGCGACCTCACGATTGTAGACAAGGTAACATCCTAACATACATCATAACACCGGCGGTCAGGACATGTAGGGTCACAATAAATTATTTTCTAGTAAACCAAGCTGATTACCTGAGACAGAATTTTATGGTGAATTAATAAAAAGTTGAGCAATGGAAAAACGTAAAATGACACACACTGAGCCAAAAGACCCAGATTTTAAATATTTTTGTATTTCTACTTTGTATGAGTTGGTGAAATGGCTTTGCGATGTTTGTTAGATTGGCTGAGTCGGCAGAGTGATCGATTCCAGATTCCATAATCGGTTCCAGATTCCATGATCGGTTCCAGATTCCATGATCCATAATAGGTTCCAGATTCCATGATCTATGAACCATAATAGGTTCCAGATTCCATGATCTATGAACCATGATCGGTTCCAGATTCCATGATCCATGAACCATGATCGGTTCCAGATTCCATGATCCATGAACCATGATCGGTTCCAGATTCCATGATCCATGAACCATGATCGGTTCCAGATTCCATGATCTTTAAACCATGATCGGTTCCAGATTCCATGATCCATGATCGGTTCCAGATTCCATGATCCATGAACGGTTCCAGATTCCATGATATATGAAGCAGATTCCAGATTCTATTTTCATATTTTATTCACTAAACTATTTATAAAAGTACGGTATATTGACCTTTGGCCATTTGACCTAAAATGTGACATTCTCTCCTCAACTCTCTAAATTTTCTCTTACGTTAACACATGCTTTACTTCTGCCTCTCCAAATGAGAGGTTAGATAGTACGCTGTGTTTAAAGGTGACACACCCTGAAAGCACATGGTCTGCCCACCACAGAAAGGAGCATGAGCACAAATGGTGGTAAATTAGGAACAATATATTCTATACAATACAAAATAAAATATACTAAATGATATAATATACCACACCAGGGTTTCAAATTTAAAGTCCTATGTTTCTAGCCAGGCCTTAAAAGTTACTCACCACTAAAAGCCACATAGAAGACTAAAACATTATATTATATAAAACCAAACAATAGCACTGAATGTACCATTACTGAACGTGTGTCGCCGTTGTGCAAACTTATGGTATTGTTGTATACTGTGTTAAACTTCACTTTATCTTGTTTAGTAGACACAGTGTGATAGAATGTAAAACATATAAAGCTGCTGGAGCATTGGTACTTGTCTTATCACAGGCTAAACAAGCTTCCAAAACTATGGTAATTACTGTTCTCATTTATCAGATTTATTATCATTAAGGTTCTTAGTTACTGTAAAACAAAGCTATTTAAAGATTAAATCTATGTTGTCTGGGACAGTCTGGGACACCCAAGATCAATGGAAAACATTTACAATTCATTCCCAGTAAACATGTAGATGTTATTGAGTAACTAAAAAAAACCCAATCCATCTACTCTATAAAATCCAATAATTAAAGTACATTTTGCAAAGACCACCAATGGTGATTTTGCCTCTTGGTGTGAGGTGGTCCAGGGATAGGTAATTTTTACTCACCTAAAGCTGTCCCTCGCTGTGTCGCTGACACCTTTTCCATCTAAATTTTGGTGAATGTTTGGCAATTTCTTTGGCACAATTTATTACATTTGTAGGATTTTTCATCGGTTGCTTTTATTTTGCACTCTAAGCATCATTTTTGAGTATGCTCCATTTTTTTCCTACAGAAAAGTTGCAGAATATTTCTGCCAGTATAAATTTGTCAGTTTAATGAAATGGAAGCTTCTGAGGAAACTGGCGAAAGAAATCCATCACTTTTTAGATCATTTTAATAAAATAAAGACGGACATTAACCACCACTTTTCAGAATAATTTGATAGAGGTCTACCAATGTTCCTGATTCTCCGCCTTTGGCTATGATGAGTGAAGGCTGGAAAGGGCAGAGCATGATTCATGTAAAGCCGTCATAAGATGGTCGGTCAATGATCACCGTCGGACTTACATATTTAATTTTATTTTCAGAATACAAGTAGCTAAGTAAACACAATACTAAAAATCCTTTAAACTGACTTTAAATTCTGAATTTCAAAGGTTGAAATAGATGTTTTCAGCCTAAATTACTAAGTAACTATGTATGGGCAATCAGTCAACACGGAACAAGATCAGCAGTCAGACAATAACATATAATGGACTTAATAACAGTAAAAAGGTTAAGAAATAAAAACTGTTATACATGCATGATATATATATATAGAATGTAATACCTAATTTATCCCACAGCAAGGAAAAACAGCACTTGGAGTGGCAGCAAGAAGCAACCATACTCTCACTGTTGATATGATCATTAAAGCAGAGAGATACTACATGTGGAAACAGGTAACAGATTCACAAATTGTTCCAGAATATGAATAATCAGAAATATAATGAAGAATCAGCACATATCTACAACATATTTATAAACCAAGAGAAACAGAGCATGGGGTCTTACCCACTAAGCTATGAGCCAGTGTTTATAGTGCTAGGAACCTTCTGTATGGTTTTAGAGACCTTCTTTGTAGTGAGACCTTCCTTATAGTGATGGAGACCTTCTTTATAGTGATGGAGACTTTTTTTTATAATGAGACTTTCTTTATAGTGATACATCTTTATAGTGAGACCTTCTTTATAGTGATACAGGAGGCAGGCAGCATTCAGCGGCAGCGAGGGAGCACTTTCTCCTCCCTTGCACACCCTATGTGATTCTGGGAGTCAGAATATGACGTCATTCTGGCCCCGGCATACTAAACAGCGTGCAGGAGGAGAAAGAAACTGTCACAGCACAGCCCAATGGAGAGGACCCAGACCAGCTCTCCCAAACGTAGGGAGGCTGGATAGGCCTCAAAAAAGTAAAATTAATTTGTGAGAGTGTGCAAGAATGTGTGAGTGTGTGTTTCTGTCAGTGTATGTGTCTGTTAGTGTGTCTTTATGTCTGTCAGCTTGTGTGTGTGTCTGTCAGTGAGTGTGTATCTGTCAGTGTGTGTGTCTGTCACACACGTGGGTGGGAAAGACACATGGATAGAGTGGGGGAGACACATGGAGGTGTTTTGGGGTGGAAAACACACATGGGGAGGTGGGAGAGACACATGGAGGGACTGGGAGCTGGAGGGTTGGGGAGACACATGGAGGGGTTTGGGGGGAAATTAAACGTGGACGGGCTGAGGGGAGAATGAGACGTGTGGAGGAATTGGGGGGGAATGAGACACATGGAGAGGCTGGCGGGGGTAATGAGATGGTGGAGGGACAGGCGGTGGGGATGAGACATATGGAGGGAATGGCGGGCGGATGAGACAACATGGAGTGGCGGGGGGATGAGACACATGGGGGGGCCCCAGGGCAATTTTCGCACCAGGGCCCAGTGGGTTCTAGTTAGGTCTCTAGCCAAGCTCCTATCTAATGTAGCGGCTCTATTATCCACTAAGCCTTTAAGGCTTTCATTTAAACTCAAACCAACAGAAAAATAAAGCAATGAAAACAACGTGTAAACAATAAACGTATTATGAAGCCCACAGCCACTCAAAATAGTATCCGCTTGCTCCATAGTCAAGTCCCCATTCGCATCGTCGGTTGTGAACGTGGGACGAAGGGGACCACGGTGGTTGGGTCTCAGCTGTGAGAGTCGTTTGTGCCTCCTGCTACCCTGTCTGGTGCAGGTAGTCCCAGTGCCCGAAACAGAGGAGAGACTCCAGACAGTTCCATCCTGGTCCACCACCAGAGGTCTCGGTGTTCAATAGAGGAGAGACTCCAGACAGTTCCATCCTGGTCTACCACCAGAGATCTCAGCGTTGCCCTGCGCTATGTGATACCGGCTGCTCTCGGTTGAGTTGTGACAGAGTGGAGTGATTGCCTCCATTGCAGGGTGGACCTTGAGAGATCTTGGTAGAATGTCAGTTCAGTGTCCTCAAACAGGTAGGGCGTCTTGTTCGGCAGAACTGTCTTTTTGCCCTGCGTGAGGGAGCAGTGGACTAGGATATCGCTCACACCTGTCACAGGCGCTCTTGGGGATTTAGGTAGGTGAAATACAGTATCAAACATACATTTTTTTTGGCGGTGGTAAAAATTTTACTACCATGCGCTTCAGGTAATGTGGAAGTTGTTCCGTTGTTATGCTCTCAGGTACACCGCCTATTTTCAGGTTGTTGTGTCAGGAGCGGTTGGCCAGTGTGGCGAGGTGTACGGATTGCGCTTATTGTACCTTTTGCACAGATTTACGGGAATCTCTCATTATTATTTATATAGTGCCATCAGATTCCGTATCGCTGTACAATGGGTATGTTCTGCATTTCTTGTTTCCCATCGAGAATGTCCTCCTCAGTGGCCCTGACCAAAGGCGTAACTATAAACTACCGGGCCGGGGTGCGAAAATTGCCCTGGCCCCCCCCCACGTGTCTCATCCCCCCCACGTGCCATTTTCTGTTGGGTCTTGCGCTGGTGTAGGGTGCCTATGTCTTGTGTGTGGGGGGTTCTGTTAGCGCAGTCCCATCGTATAGTGCCGGTCTGGCGAGGAGCAGTGTGCAGGCTCAGACTCCGGTGGGTTTCAGGCCCCAGCAGCTCAGACAGTCTGAGTGAGGGGAGATGGTAGGCCGCAGGCCACTTCCTCTGTTTCTTCAGCTTGGAATTGTGGAAGAAAGGCATGAACCAGTGCCTGGAACTGCACCGAGCAATCCCTCTGGTATTGGCAGTCAAATGGGTAACTTAACTCAGGATATTTAGGCTGAGCCCTGGTGGAAGTGGGGGAAATGGTGTCCGCTCCATTTTGAGGTTAAGCCCCGTTCCGAGAACTATAGGCTAGCTTATATCTACAAATCATTACTTTTTTTTAGATTTGCTGAGGCCCAATTATTTAAAATACATTAAACATATGGACATACACATATAGCTGCAGTTTGTGTGAGTGAGGAGTTTAAACAATGTGTTCATAGTTTGTGAGAGCACAGTATGTTGACAATGTGGATGAGAGCATTGTGTGTGTCTGTGTGTGAACAATGTGTGATCAATATTTATAAGTGCAATGTGTGTGCATATATATTAGTGTTAACATTGCGTGAGAACACTGTGTGTGTGTTTGATGTGAGCGGTGTCTATAAGGGCACAGTGTGTATCATGTATATTTGTCTGAACAGTGTGTAAAAGCAATGTGTGTGTGAAAACTGTGTCTTTGCATTGGGAAACGAATCACGTGTAGGCATTGGGACGACCAGTTACGAGCCCAGGCAGAATTCCTAATTCAGATACTCTTCAGATTCTGTTGTGTTAAAAATGGATTTACTATACTATGAATTGTGGTCAGTTAAGAAGAAATTTAAAAAAATAAAAATAAAAAATTAAGCCAAAGTTAACTGAAGTTAAAGTGTAAAAATTCTCCCCTTGGCTATTTTGGTCAACATGTAACAGATATGGTTTTTATTTCAATATTATTATTTGGGGATTAAACCTATCGTCATGGACTGCTGACACATTTTGGTTTTACAGGGCCTTAAAGAAAATATCCAAGAGGTACATCAAGCTTCTTCTATAAACTTCAAACAAGATCACAGTTTAAAAACCAGTCAGATCAGAGATGCTTTGTGGAGTTTGGCATATAATGAATTCAAGCCACACGAGTGGAAAAAGTTGGCTCAATTATGGGAATTCACAGAGCCACAGATTAAAGCCATCGAAGAGCAATGGACAGGTAACAGGATTAGAATGACTTGATTTCCAAAATAAATCCCAATATTACATTGGGTTTGAGTACCAAAAAATAGAAAATGTCTCGTCACAATCTTTTATTTGTTTATTACAGGGCAAGCAAGTTACAGAGAACACGGTCACCGGATGTTGTTGATCTGGTTGCATGGGATTTTACTGACAGAACGGCATCCGGTTAAATCTTTATATGAAGATCTGGTGCAATTGGGACACCATAAACTAGCTGGTAATCTACATGTTTGGTTGCTAAGAGAAATAGTAACTTTGTGTGTTTTTTAAATGGGGGAGTGAGTTACAGTAGCTTTACTAGGGAGAATCAGCTTCAGTAAAGTCACATAACTATGAAATTTCTCTCAGATTTTGTGGCGTAGACTAACTCTTCCTTGTCTTAGACACTCATTATGAATTGTAAACATGCAATCACCCCTTGCAGGTAAAAATTTGCCAAATGACACAAGGAACATTAAAATTAAAAAGTGTGATGATTTGGATATTGAATACAGAACATTTTTAAATTTTCACTTCATATGTTACAAAGTTTGTGACTATGCATTGCCGACATTAATACTGTGACCTCGCTGCGGATCCACTGCAGATTGGAATCATGTTACTTATAGATCAACTACTACGTTGACATGGCTGTTAGTTGGTCAGATGACTTGATTAGTTACTAGGCTTTCCACTTTTAGACTGCTGGGTTAATTTCTGTTAATACTGATAACAACTTCGTTAAAGGGACACTTGACTATCAAAATAAAAATAATTGTTTAGTAGAAACACCTCAATAAAACATGCATGCATGTAATTATGCATTATGCATTTTTTCAGTGGGTATATTTAAAAACAGATCTCTTGTCTGCAGCCTTTGCAAGCCCGTCCATTCTAACCCCGCCCAGACTTTTTATGGCTATCCAATCATAGACGTCACAGTGTATCTCAATGAGAACTCTTTGCTAGTCAGGTGCTCTGGGCAATTGCTGCCTCTTGTATTTCGCTTCACTGAGCTAACCAAACCACGAAGCAACAGGGCCAATTATCTTATTAACAGCCAGAGGCTGTAAAAAGGTTAATTTTTAGCAATTTTGGGCAAAATGAAAAGAGGACACACTTTTCACACATAAAGTACTTGATCTGGATTGCCCCTTTAAGCTTTTACAATATAATTCTTAATGAGCAATTTAATGCCTCTGATTGTGTGACAATTAGCTTTAGTGTGTGCAAACGTGTTCTAAACTCAGGAAAATCATGTTGATTATGGATTTACCATATGATAAACTTTAACTATAAAGGCTAGTAGGTGGACAGCCAGTAACCAGAGCCCTCAATAGCCAAATATCTCCAACAAATTACCTACTAAAATTATAACACTTCTCCAAATCATATATCTCCCACAAAACACACACAAATGGTTTCAGAGGACCACATTTTCCCCATGACCCCTGTTTAGCCAGACAGGTTTCACAAACAGCCCATACCGATATTGCTATTTACACATATAACACTGCAAAATGGTTCGTAAAAAAATTTTTAAAAAAAATTCTGGAAGGAAGATGGATGATCTTCTGAAATGAATATGTTGCAGTACATAGTTGGACTTCCAGGTTTCCTTAATTATGCACATTCTCAAAACATTTTTTTTTTCTCTTCCTAGAAAACTTCAGAATACAGAGCACAAATGGTATAAATTCTAAGAAATGCCTTATTTCCTGAGGCAAATAGAACAAAATGATGAGAATAATAGCCCAGGGTGTTCTGAGCACCTCCTACACTGCCATGATGTCAATTTAAAGACTTTAACCGGCTACCGTTCAAAACTCTGAACAATTCTGTGTCTAGCCAATGTATATTTAAACAGGATTTCATGAAATATGGTTATAGACGGAGCCCAACAAGTTACAGCCCGGAGGTTCACCCAGTGATTATATTGTTCAGATCTTCCAATGTCCCTGTACACATCTCTCTCGTATGCACACAGATGTACACAAAGACTAGAAAAGAGACTTTGTAGCTTCATACAAGTAGATGTCTGACAGTCTCCCATTGAGGGATTTGCTTTTACAGGAATGGTTGTCGCAGTTCATCAATACTCACTCATATAGAGAGAACATTGGCCCATCTCATGTTTGTCCTGATGGATTACCAGTGGTCTAGGAATTTCTGATTACTGAGAGCTGAGTAATGTGAATATCAGTATAATGTAATCTGGACTATCTGTGGTCTTTCAGCTCATCGGAGAACTGCTGAACACCAAACTATATACATAAAACGAGATCAGAACAACTGTATCATTGTTTAAACTGTTAATTTTATAAAAGAACCTTCAACGTGTACCTGTAGGGATACAATGTATGAAACCCTACAATGGTTTGGAGACTAGTGAGTGATTATCCACTAATGTAATGTAATGATTCACTAGGAGATTCATTTTCTGGCTATGAGTCAGGAATGGACCTCCATTCACCAATCTCCAAAAAAAGAAATATCAATGCTGAAGCCCTTATCCCATTTACAAACCTTCATGACAGCCTCTACTAAAACGATCTGGCAACGTTTCATCCTTTTACGGTTATGATACAGACTGCCAAGGACTGAAACCCTGACAGGTCACCTTGTGACGACTATATTACATTGTTTCTTATTCCAGCTATGTAATTACAGTTTGCAGCATTGTAAGGCTACTTATGTACATTTTAACATATATATACCTCATTATTGTCATAGTCTACCCTCTATAAGAAGTTTAAACAAAGACGTTTTCTGCAACAATTTTACAATTAAGATAAATCATAGCTTTAAATTCTATATTGAACTAAAAGTATTTTGCTTGTTCTGTGCAGCAATGTGTAACAGGCAACTGTCCAAATGTATTTTAATTAAATTGCACAGTTTTAAGAAAAAAAAAGAAGCAACTCATTCTTAATGAGTCATGTTTACAAGAAAGAATGAATGTTGGCATTTAAAGGAAGCTATTTTGGTAGCATGAAAAGCATCAATGAGCAGTCTGCGACATATCATCATGAATTTGTTGTTTATGTATTGTTTTCTAATATTGACAGTTTTGTAAAATGTCTGGTGCTTTAATACATTTATATAACATCGATCTCTGTGTAAAGTCATGTTAACGCATTTTACTTGTATGTGTAACTCACGTTATAGGGATTGTCTGTGATACTCATATCCTAAGTGGCCATTATTGCAGTCCCTGGCATATAGCCGGGTAAGAGTGACACTGCACGTGGTAACTCAGTGCCCACAACCGTACCTACCTTAACAATGTGTGGGAGCCTGGAGTGTCCCTTTATTAATATAAACCCACCCAGTATAACTAACTGTAACCTAACCTACACAGTGCATCTAATATAAATCCACCCAGTATAACTAACCGTAACCTAACCTACACAGTGCATCTAATATAAATCCACCCAGTATAACTAACCGTAACCTAACCTACACAGTGCATCTAATATAAATCCAGTATAACTAACCGTAACCTAACCTACACAGTGCATCTAACGTGTGTGGGAACCTTTAATAATATAAACCCACCCAGTATAACTGTAACCTAACCTACACAGTCTAACGTGTGTGGGAGCCTGGAGTGTCCCTTTAATAATATAAACCCACCCAGTATAACTAACTGTAACCTAACCTACACAGTGCATCTAATGTGTGTGGGAGCCTGGAGTGTCCCTTTAATAATATAAACCCACCCAGTATAACTAACTGTAACCTACACAGTGCATCCTAACGTGTGTGGGAGCCTGGAGTGTCCCTTTAATAATATAAACCCACCCAGTATAACTGTAACCTAACCTACACAGTGCATCTAATGTGTGTGGGAGCCTGGAGTGTCCCTTTAATAATATAAACCCACCCAGTATAACTGTAACTTAACCTACACAGTGTATCTAACGTGGTTGAGTCTCCTTAATAATATAAACCCAACTAACTAACTGTAACCTAACCTACACAGTTCAAATATAAACCCAGTATAACAATCTAACCGCAGTGCATCTAACGTGGTGGGAGCCTGGAGTGTCCCTTTAATAATATAAACCCACCCAGTATAACTAACTGTAACCTAACCTACACAGTGCATCTAACGTGTGTGGGAGCCTGGAGTGTCCCTTTAATAATATAAACCCACCCAGTATAACTAACTGTAACCTAACCTACACAGTGCATCTAACGTGTGTGGGAGCCTGGAGTGTCCCTTTAATAATATACACCCACCCAGTATAACTAACTGTAACCTAACCTACACAGTGCATCTAACGTGTGTGGGAGCCTGGAGTGTCCCTTTAATAATATAAACCCACCCAGTATAACTAACTGTAATCTAACCTACACAGCGCATCTAACGTGTGTGGGAGCCTGGAGTGTCCCTTTAATAATATAAACCCACCTAGTATAACTAACTGTAACCTAACCTACACAGTGCATCTAACGTGTGTGGGAGCCTGGAGTGTCCCTTTAATAATATAAACCCACCCAGTATAACTAACTGTAACCTAACCTACACAGTGCATCTAACGTGTGTGGGAGCCTGGAGGGTCCCTTTAATAATATAAACCCACCCAGTATAACTAACTGTAATCTAACCTACACAGTGCACCTAACGTGTGTGGGAGCCTGGAGTGTCCCTTTAATAATATAAACCCACCCAGTATAACTAACTGTAACCTAACCTACACAGTGCATCTAATATAAACCCACCCAGTATAACTAACTGTAACCTAACCTACACAGTGCATCTAACGTGTGTGGGAGCCTGGAGTGTCCCTTTAATAATATAAACCCACCCAGTATAACTAACTGTAATCTAACCTACACAGCGCATCTAACGTGTGTGGGAGCCTGGAGTGTCCCTTTAATAATATAAACCCACCCAGTATAACTAACTGTAACCTAATCTACACAGTGCATCTAATATAAATCCACCCAGTATAACTAACCGTAACCTAATCTACACAGTGCACCTAACGTGTGTGGGAACCTGGTGTGTCCCGTTTCTTGAAATGGACACTCAAAGCACCATGTCTAATACAGGGCACTATAGTAGTTTGGTTTAGGTTACAGTATACTGTGTTGGTTTATATTATTAAAGGGACACTCCAAGTACCTTATCCACTATAGCTTTATGTAGTGGTTATGGTGCCAGTAGTGCCATGCGTTGATTTCTTAACAAAGGGCTGAAGTATCTATGATGCTTAGAGTGTTACTTTAAGGGCATCTGAAGGACAGTCTGTCACAAACAGTGTTTCTCTCTCTCTGTGTTTGGAGTCTGTGCTTGCATGCTAGAGGGAGTGGGGTAAAGTAAAACAAAAGGTTAGGGAAGTACATATGTAGAATAGTATTCAATGAAGACTTAATGGTTAAAAAAAAAAAACACGCTAACAGTTTAATTGATATGTAATAGAGCAGCAGGAAATGCTAGCAGAATGCTTGGTTGTATAGGGAGAGGTATTAGCAGTGGAAAGAGGGAAGTGCTCATGCCATTGTACAGAACACTGGTGAGACCTCACTTTGAGTATTGTACACAGTACTGGAGACCGTATCTTCAGAAGGATATTGATACCTTAGAGAGGGTTCAGAGAAGGGCTACTAAACTGGTTCATGGATTGCGGGATAAAACTTACCAGGAAAGGTTAAAGGATCTTAACATGTATAGCTTGGAGGAAAGACGAGACAGGGGGGATATGATAGAAACATTTAAATATATAAAGGGAATCAACACAGTAAAGGAGGAGACTATATTTAAAAGAAGAAAAACTACCACAACAAGAGGACATAGTCTTAAATTAGAAGGACAAAGGTTTAAAAATAATATCAGGAAGTATTACTTTACTGAGAGGGTAGTAGGATGCATGGAATAGCCTTCCAGCTGAAGTGGTAGAGGTTAACACAGTAAAGGAGTTTAAGCATGCGTGGGATAGGCATAAGGCTGTCCTAACTATAAGATAAGGCCAGGGACTAATGAAAGTATTTAGAAAATTGGGCAGACTAGATGGGCCAAATGGTTCTTAGCTTCTAAGTTTCTATGTTTTACTGTGTCAGTATATATGTTGGCTCTCATTTCCACATCAGATTGCTGCCAAATTGGCTGCGGTTATATTTGTTGGTCACAGATTTTTCCATACCGTGATAACTTACTAAGCTAGCTAGTAAGTTATCAAACACAGTGAAAAGACTTGTCTGGTCACCAAGAAAGCTATGTGAAATCCTAACATTGCATGAACAAGGATGTGGAAATCATAAGAAAAGTAGGTGGAAGTCAAATTAAGTATTTCTAAAGTGTGCAATAAGCTTCAATTCAAAACCAAACTGGTAAAGGCAGGAACATGTGCACAACAGCATGTAGTGATGGAAGAATTCAAAAACTATTTGTGACAGCAAAAATAAATAAATAAAAATAAATAAATAAACAATTGTTTCAATGTGGGCCAGGACTGTAAGATGCAGCCTCAAAGATTAGTTTAAATTCTAGAATTCCAAGGAAAAGGCCATTTTTTTTCTCCAAAACAATGGAACAAGGAAGAAATTAAAATGGCTGAAAACAAGGATATTGGTCTGAGGACCAATGGGACAGAGTCATCTGTAGTGATGAGACCATAATGTCAATGTTTGGTAAGAGAAGAATTGGACAGTATAAGCTGCCCGAATGCACTGCAGCTACCATAAAGCATCCAGTGAGTGTTTTCTTCTAGGGAGGTTTGATAGCACAAGATGGGTGTGATTGATGGTACTGTAAATTGTAAACAGACATGTTATATACCTGGGCTAAAACTGTAGCCTTTGGCATTTGACCTTTCCCCTGCTTGTGATGTTGCTGCTGTGTGCAAAAAGTGGTTTCAGGAAAATCATATCAAACTGCTAGAATGTCCGGGTAACAGGCCCTGACATAAATCCAGTAGAAAATCTGTGGAGTTGATTAAAGAAACTTGTTAGTCAGAAGCGACCAAGGAATAAAAGACAATGGATAGATAGAAGCAACCATACAACCTTGGTTTCACATTAGTACACCTGGCAAACAAAACACTTGATTCACTCCTTGGGATGTTGTTGCAATACTTTAATTGCAAAAGGTTTCCCGATTCAGTACCAACAGAAATGGCTAGAAGTTATGAAATATGCTTTACCAAGGTTTTCGTCGCTTCATTGTGGTTTTCAGTGTATAAATTTTTTTAGAATGCAAGTGTTTTTGCAAAGTGTGTTGCATTACATTTTGCATTAAACTATCGAGTCATATATAAGTTTATTATTCTAAGATATATTATGAGCCATCAAAACCTTGGAAAAATATTGCTGGAAAGGAAATAGAGGTCTAAGTTACAATCTGGTATTAGTAACATTATTAACACTTAATAATTTTTTCTTAGAAACTAGCGTGCTACAGTTATCAAAGTGATCCCGATTTCACAAATTAAAGGCAGAAAACCTTGGTCAGATTAATCATAATTTTAACATTGATTTTGCAATGCCTCACTGGATAAGCCTACATTGTGTAGTTAAACAATATATATTAAAATAGTGGCCTTTGAGCAGTGTTTAATTAAATCATGAGTTGAAGGTTATCGAGGACCAAGTGACTGGTGTGTAATTAGCCCATTATGTTAGATAAAGAAATTGCAGTCACATTTTAGGTGTTGTACAAATGTATTAGGTTAGGTATTACACGTCGTCACAATTTTAGTTAGATTGATTACTCTGACCCCAATTCACAAAAAATGAGTTTGCACACGTTATCAAGGTTTGTTCTGCTTGACTGATAACACTCATATGGCTACTTAATAAAGAGAGAATTCCACCATATAAGCCTGAATTGCCTACTAGTGGGCAGTAGGGAGCAGGTTGACAAACCCTGATGTAATGAATGAACCCCTAATTTTTTATGGTCCTGTTACAATATCACCGACTCCTCTAGGGTTGTGATGATTTCAACGTATTTAAATGGCTCATCGCCAGCCATTAACATCTCAATAAATGATATAAGCATAGAATGTGACGGCAGATAAGAACCATTCGGCCCATCTAGTCTGCCCAGACTAGAAAATGTGATTTAGCAAACACTAGGTTCTGTTTTTGACTTGCTAACATCACACAGTACCTGTTCTGCTCTAGTGACATCTGTGACTGGTAATAAATGTAAAATGAAGTCAATGTCCCAGGCATCAACATGAATAATCTGGTCAACATGGGATACTGATGGTCTGCAACCATGGTCATTCAAATAATACTCAATATTTAAAGTGGCCTAAAGTATGCCAGGAAAATAATACTTGAACAATTACGACCACCAGAACAAAATATCAAAGGAAGGGATGGGACGATGGAGTGCTTAATAATATTCTATTGGTATGTCCACCCCTTCTCCCCCAAAACAAATGACATCACATCATGTATTTTATTTTTAAATGGTACATACCGAATAGAACTGAGCATTCCCACCTCACATACGTCCGTTCTTATTTTGCTATTTGAATTTTGAGGGTTATGGCGCAGGTGAGTAGTAGGAGGGTATTTTTCTCCTTTTTTCACGTTTAAGGCAAATTGACGCACGGCATGATGAGTTTATGCAGATAACGCTAAATTTCTAACCATAAATCAAGAGACAGACTCCGTAAACCAGCAGTTTGGTGATCATGTATCCAATGCAGCCTCACCTTCCAGCTCCCTCCTGACCGCTGTGAAGCCAGACATGCTGCTCTAGAACAAATAAAGGTGCTTTAATCCACAGAATTAGCGGCTGGTGGACATTTTTATCACACCATTTTCTATGATTTCAGGAGCTAAGGTGTCACTGTGTCTATAAAAAAAAGAAAAGAAATATCGTCACAGTAAAAGACACCAGTCTCCCTTTTATTAGGATTATCCCAACTAGGAAAAAAAACGTCATCTCAAAAAATATTAAGGCACATACAAAAATGTTTATTAAAAATACAAAACACACAACAAGGAGTTAAATGACAGAATTGCATTATGATGTTGCGACACTATTTACATTAGATTTAATAGCATGGGATCAGGATGCACAGAACACATTAACACTTAGCAATATAACTCCGGATTATGGAAAATCTAGGCAACATGTTTATTTTCAGGCATTTTATTGACCAGGGATTCGGGCTTCAAAGCACTTATGTTTCTGTTAGAGTGATGTCAGTTTCTGGCTAATGCACAATCCACACTTAAAGGACTGCTTAATGAAATCTTCAATTAAAAATAACACTTCCATCTGTGAATGGCTCAGTGTAACTAAGGCACAAATTTCTCCCCTAAATGTCTTCCATGATGGACAGCTGGCCCCTTGGCTGGATTAAAAAGGTGACCGTTGGTAAGAATGCCAATCGTCTGAGCTGTCGTATGGCTGTGTACAGAATGCATGTTACAATGCCAGGAGTGTGTGTCCTGGCTGACGCATCATACAATGGGTAAACACAAAACATTTAAAGGGCCGCTTCTGCTATACAGCCTCCTATTATCAGACTACATGCATCTGTATTGCTATTAGTAAACATTCCTTATTAATGTGATGTTTATCACACATGCTTACTAAAACAGATCATTTTTGACTGGGGTGAAGAAAACAAAAAACAAAAAACGTGACAAACAAGTATACACATAATATTTAAAACGATTACAAAATATTTCATATAAAAAATAAACATTTTAAATCTTAAAAACACAAGAATAAAAATATATAAAAATAACAATGTCACTCAAACAGAATACAGCTACCGCACACTATTAACCAAGTCATGGAATGCTTAGTAAAGGAGAGTCAATCTGTTTACATTCCACATGTCTGAAGACAAGTAATGCAAGTATTTCAGGAAGTATTTACAATGAATTAGACTACAAGGCACACTAGTCAACAACCTTTATAGTGTGGATGCTGGTGGGATTAGCAGCGCTTCTTCCGCTGGTGGAGCTGGCACTTTGCACTGAGGGCCGGGGGTAGTTTGCAGCAGTCGCTTGGGAGATAGTTTGCTTTAATAAAGAGAAAAAACAAATGATAAGGGTTCATCTAAATGTAATATGAACAAAATGCTTTACTGACATTGGGCTTGTTTCCATCTTCCAGGTTTGAGGTAGTAATCCTTAAAATAGCTGTAGCTACAGTTAGTAGGAAACACAAATTACACTCAATACATCCCATATAAAAAAAAAAAAAAAAATCTAAAAACATTGGAACAAAGTACAAAACCAACCTATATGCATCATGGATGTAGTTTTCAATAATTATCAGTGCAAGTTTACAAGTTAGGTAGATGAAAACTATAAAGGCAGCCTTATCAGATGATTTCAGGTGAAGGGCGCATGCACTGAACAAACGTTTTATAATTAGAGTTACTAAAACAATAAACTGGAAAAAGCACCTATTTCCTAATTTACTTGCAATCTGCAAAATGGTAAATGCCAAGTGGTAGAATTACTGGATGGAGGCAGACATGAATAATGTGCAGAAGTGAAAAGAGGTATTGACCATAAAAACATGGCTGTATTAACTGCAGGCATCTACTGGCTGACGATTTTAACAATGCTTAGAAGGAACACTATAGTGTTAGGAATACATACATGTATTCCTAACACTATAGGTGTAAAGCAAGGTTTAGCTGATCCCTGTTGGAGGAGTAAAGGGGAGTTAACCTGTCTTTATTACAGAACTGTGCAAGTCTCGTAGCGGCTGGCCCCTCACCTGCTCTGCCTCCTTGGCTGAGATCATCAACTTTGAGCCAATCCAGTGCTTTCCAATGGGGAATGTACAGTGCTTCAATGCAGAGCGTTGAGACACTGAACATTGTGCAGCACTGACCCATGAAGCACCTCTAGTGGCCTTCTGAGAGACTGCCACTGGAGGTGTCCCTAGGGAGCAATGTAAACACTGCTTTATCTCTAAAAACAAACAGTGTTTATATTGAATGCCAACACCAGAACAACTACATTAAGCTGTAGCTCTTCTGGTGACCATAGTACACCTTCAAAAGGAACACTATTGGCATCATAATCACATCAATGGGTTACTTACCATTTAATGGAGATGATCGATCACCGAAACTTTGCAGTGCAGCCGCCAATGACAATATGGTAGAGGAGCTATGATTCCACTTTGCACCATACCAAGGATTGGTGTTCTCAGCCAATCACTATGCACTACCCACATTATGCCATAAAGGGGAGTATAACTCTGACATTTTATAATGGGAGGTTGGGCTTCAGGCTGCTTGGGACTGAGAATCTCTGTTATATGAGGACTAATCCATTTGTTAGTAATGTGGGTCCCCATGCCTAGGGACTACAGACACCATAACCACTTCAACCTGTTTGAGTTGTTATTGTGCCTTCAGTGTTCATTTAATGTTTATTTTTTAACACAAAGCATTGAAATAATCTCATTATTTTAAAAAATGTTGCAGATCAAATTAATCCAAGGATATGTTAAACTATCAAACATTTTGGTAAAAAATTATCTATACACTATTATTTTTTATATAGCGCCATCAAATTCCGTAGTGTTTTACAATGGGATGCACATGCATTCACACTCTATGGGCAGCATGAACAAAGTGTGAACACAATATTTAACATTTAGGAGTATCTGCTAATTGTTAGGCAAAGCGATTATCCTTTCTGGATTTTTAACAGTGTTCTGCAGTATTAACTGTGCCAACTCAAGTCATTGCTTTTATATATTAAACTTGAAACATTTTAATTCACTTTCCATTATAACCTTGGTTTTATATGAAGATATTCTATATAAAGCCTGGCTTGTATGAGTATGTATATCTACAAATCCTGTGTGTTCATACACCCAAAGCCTTATTCTTTTCCTTATTCTAACAAGCCAGGTTCACTAACTGATCTGGCCCCACCAGCAGAGGGTGGGTGGTAAGGTCTTCAGTGCTAAAAAGAATAAAAAGCAAAGACATTCTGCATTTTTTTTCCATCACAGTCAAATGATTACATGGAGGCCCTGGGACATTGTCTGCCATCAAGCGGTTAACCATTAGTGGGTGAGGGATTTACTCCCTAAATCCATTCTAACCTGCTTTGAATCCTTGCTAAGCACATAGTTAATTCCCTGCGTTATGCTAGTTATGTTCCACGGATGCTACAATATTCTGTATTTTATTTCTCTGAGATGCTCTCATTGTATTTTAATATGGCATCGATAGGAGCCACGTTGTGAAACATAGAATCCTGATTTAAATGTAATTTCATATCCAAGATTCAGCCATGTGTTAAGCCAGCAAGGTTTGGCATGAAGGCCTTGTATGACTGTAAGACACCAAATGCAGAAGTGGTCAAGTCCTGTTGTGGTTTTAGTGTGTATCTTTTTCGAGTTTTGTTATTTCATGTTTTGCGTTCATTGTGAATTGCATACCTGAGTTACTGGATGATGTTTTTCAACTACAACAGAGGCCATGGGTGGGGAAACAGCCATAGACATCACACTACTTCCAGTCTTGCTAAACTTCTGTGCCAGATCTGACCGAGCTGTGACACGCGCCGTTATTGTCCTTCCAGCCTTCTGCTGACCCGAGGTAACGACCCTTGTTGGGGGCTAATAATATTAAACAAAAATCTCTAAAATTAGGTGGAAAAAGGTGTACCATTTCCGCAATTTGCATCCCTCATAAAATGTAAAAAATAAAAAAAAAGCCATTTAAAGCTTTTAACTCTGAAACTAAACAGCTCAGTTATTTCAGCCAATTGCTTGTCCTCCACTAGAAACAGGAGAGGTCCCCTTGCTATCACGAGGAAATGCTCCGCTTGCATAAAAGGGCATACAGATGGACACCAACAACAAAATTATTGTGAGAAGTAGAATGAAGTGTAAATGTAGGAGGAAAAACATGTTTTCCTCCTAATTTAGTGTTCTTTAAACCAATTTTATATTTTAATACTGTGTACAGTTTTCATGTTTGTAAAAGCTACAATATGGAAGATATTTATAGATAGAAAAACAGAAACTTTGGTTTAACAGTATAATTAATGATGACATGTCCCAATGAGTACATACCAGCTTCTGTGTTGATAATATACTGGACCCGGACGCTGTGGCAGACATTACAACTGGGGTGCATCCATCTTCCTTTGAATGGGAAGAACTTAATGGGACAAAGTGGTGCCTATACTGGAAGGAAATAAAAAGAAAAGAAATAAAAATGCCTGAAAATATCCAGTAGCGTTTCCCTTACCATTTTAAATGAAATGTGCTAAACAAATGGTCTCGGCAGCATTAACTCTTCGAGTTCTAGAGATATTAACTAAAGCATTGCTGGTTTCTGGAAAAGGGCAGTAAATATTGGTAAAATCACCCAAACACTGGCTTATGAAATGCTTTCAATATACTCATTAGAACTCAATGTTAGTAAAGTTGTCAAAATAGGCCAAAAGAAGGGGCGTTTCAGAAGATTGTTTGAGGCAGACCATTTGTTCAGACGATTGCTGATTTACTTTCAGTTAGTGAATTCCTGTGGCATCTGGCTAGTAGCAGTGAGTTAATGTTCAGATCCAGACTGCACAACAAATCATGCCTGGAGACACGGTTTCATTGTCCAAGCAATCCTTGGGAATATAAGTTTATTTATGTAACATTGTAGTACACTTGAAACCCAAACACATGACGTCTGAGGCAAACACCATACCAGTCGCTTTGACAAACTGCACGGTTTCTCGTAAGTGTACCATGGACTCACTAGACTAGGAGTGTCGGGAAATGATTAACACCTGGGTAGTAGCGTAGGACTGAAGATCTAGGTATATATTGTTGCTTTCCTAATATTGCTAATAAATAATGACTTGCCCTCCGTCCATCTTCGAGGTCTCAAATATTCTACTTTTCCAAAAAGGCAGATGTTTAAGCAAGTGTACAAAATCTGATAAGACAGCCTCTCTAGGAAGAGGATTCTGTATATGCATTGTCCATGTCCACCACAAAATGCATGCCACTCTAGAATTAGAATTGAAGAGAGGAGATTTCCCCTACTGCAGAGGCATGGTTTCTTTACAGGAAAAACAATATAACTTTACATTTATCTACATCACTTCTTATAAGCCACTTGGCGATTCAGTCCCATAATGTACCAAATCACTGTTTATTGAAGTAATATTGTGCTCACACTTTACTACTGCACCTAGCTTTGTGACATCTGCACACACGGACACAGATTTGTAAACGTCTATTGCAGGATTATTACTAAACAGGTTGAAGAGACATGGACCCAGAACAGCCCCTTTAATCCCTGTAGTTGCTTGAACACACCTACTCACCACAGACAAAACCTGCAGACTTGCATTTGCCAGTCATCCACAGCACACAGTATATATCGATAATACACAAACGAGATGTGCCATCGATGTTGATATTAGGCAAATCCTATCTTCTACGTTTACATATTTCTATATCTACATAACTAGAATCCTCATGCTGCAGAATAAACACTGTATACTGCAGATTTCTGTGTTAAAATCAGGCCTGCTGACATATATAGTCTTGCTGTTAGTACATAGCTCTTACAATTTGCTCTGATGGAGGAGGGTGGAATGACAAAGGTGGGTCGTGCTGGGATGAAGCCATATGAGCCGATGTTGTGGCTGGATGCTGCAATGTAACCGAAGGGCTAGAGCCAAATTCCTCTCTCCTCGGTATAGGATCTGCAAAATATAATGAAATCAGCATTGCACGAGAACTCAAGCATTTCATTAAAACACAGGACTGATTTATTCATTTTCTAATATTCCATCTGACTAGAAGATTGAAGTACCGTATATACTCGAGTATAAGACGAGTTTTTCGGCACAATTCTTGTGCTGAGAAAAACCCCCACTCGTCTTATACTCGAGTGAGTGTCTGTATTATGCCAACTTACATTGCCATAATACAGACAAGGACCTTGTAATAAGCCCGGCGGTCTTGTTGGGGGCTGGCAGAGAGCTGTAACTTACCTTTCCTGCAGCTCCCTTTTCTCTCCTACGGTGCGGTCAGCTCCCTTCTCCTCCAGTGTAAGTCTCGTGAGAGCCGCGGGGTAAGAGCATTGCCACGGGTTACCGTGGCAACGCTCCGCGCGGCAGTCACACCGCGAGACTTACACTGGAGGAGAAGGGAGCTGACCGGAACGCAGGAGAGGGAAGGGAGCTGACAGGAGCTGCAGGAAAGGTAAGTTACAGCTCTCTGCCAGCCCCCCTCCTACACAGCCCATGCCACTAGACCACCAGGGAATGAGAGCCCCCGTCCCTGGCCATGTATCAAGAAGGGAGGGGGGACAAAAAAATAAAAATAAAAAAAATTTAAAAATATTAAAATAAAATAAAAATAATTTAAAAAAAGTTTAATATTACAATAATAATTAAAAAAAAATAATAAAAATGCCCACCCCCCACCAAAGTTACACACACTGCATTCATACACACACACTGCATTCATTATATACACAAAATAAATATTCAATTAATGTAATTTTTTGGGGATCTAATTTTTTTTTTAGAAATTTACCAGTAGCTGCTGCATTTCCCACACTAGTCTTATACTCGAGTCAATAAGTTTTCCCCGTTTTTTTGGGTAAAATTAGGGTTATATTCGGGTCGACTTATACTCTAGTATATACAGTAAATTGCAGTCATTTCAGAAAGTCATTCACAGTGCCACACAATGACTGTTTTAAAGTGATCTTTCAATATGAAATACTCTCCCATAAAATATAGGACTACAAGACTAAGCGTTGTTTTTTTTTTTTTTTTAAACAATAGTGAAGAACTTAACTTACAAAGAGTTACTAGGCATTTAGCACTGGCAATTCTATTTATAAACAAAGATTCACTGAGGTGTCACTGGTCTGAAAATCGGTGGTTTTTACACTCAATACATTTTGTATTCTGTATTATGTTGACCCCTAGTGGCCACATGAGATCTGCAAGCTGACTGAAGTCAAGACAAAATCATTCTGGTGGAAAATAAAATATCTGTGTTACAGAGTGGTAACGGAGGAATAAAAAGACGAATGCGCACAGGGCAAGGTTTTAGTTAGCATGGGAGGTAAGTCAGAAAGATTTTAATGAACTTGTTGACCAGTTAATTATTAGAGGACCTCTCACGGGCGGCTCCTTTCCTATGGAATAGCCTGCCTACCGCCATCAGACTCTCCCATAGTCTTCAATCATTTAGGAAAGCTTAGGGCCTCCCAGAGTAACCTCTACCTCACATACCTGTCTCTTGCTCTCTCCTATAGGGCAGTGCTTTACTCTCTCCTCCAGCTCTGCTTCACTCCCACCTTATTTGATTGCTATTTTCTGTCCTAACGTGTTTTGTACCCCACCTCCTATAGACTAGAAGCTTGTTTGAGCAGGGTCCTCTTCAACCTCTCGTTCCTGTAAGTTTTCTTGTAATTGTCCTATTTATAGTTACATCCCCCCTCTCATAATATTGTAAAGCGCTACGGAATCTGTTGGTGCTATATAAATGGCAATAATAATAATAAATCTATATCCGAATTAGCCTTAAAGCAAACTCAAAAATGAACAACATCAGAAAACTGATGTCTTATTTCAGCATTGAAATACAAGAAATTGTGCCATGGCTCTACCTAAAACAACATTATCCAGAATGTAGAAAGAAACTCAGTCCTGTCTCTGTATTAATGCTGACCTTGCTTTGAGAGACAGAGAATGCGAGAGTGTCTGTGCCAGCATAACTGCACATTATAAAGAACTTTACATTAAAAGGAGAACTCCAACTTAAAAACTTTTATTTCTATCATTAGAGCTACTTCTTAAAGGGACATTATAGTCACCAGAACCACTACAGCATATAATATATATATATATATATATATATATATATATATCTATATCTATATATCTATATATCTATATCTCTTATGTAATATTAATATAGCCTGCAGATTTTTCAGTGTAAAACACTGCCTTTTCAGAGAAAAGGTAGTGTGTTTACATTGCTGGCTAGTACCACCTCTAGTGACAGTCACTCAAATGGCCACTAGAGGTGCTTCCTATCACAATTCTACACTGTGTGCAGGACCTACGTTCAACGTCTTCACACTCTGCAGATTGGCATGGCGTGGTGTTTTTCCGCGAATGTGCAACGGCTTACCAATGCTTTCCTATGATCAATCCAAAATAGATTATCTCAGCCATGGAGGCGGGGCCAGATGCAGCGAGGGAAAAATGTGATTTAAATACCTTTTTACTGCAATCTAAGGGGGATATCTAAACAGCCACTCCATGTCTATAATGTTAGGAATACAAACTATTCCTAACAGTAGTGTTCCTTTAACTGCTTAGATGTAGGCACTTAACTAAACTTTTATCCTTGGCTAAGCTGGTCTCTTGGAAGTCGTTGCTCCTCCTCTTGGTTAGATCATCATTAATGATGATCTCAGCCAATCCAGTGTTTCGCTACAGAGAAGCATTGCGGAATTTACTGCGCAACCATGGCAATTGGCACTCTGCACCATTCAGCATCTCCTTATAGTGAAACATTATCACAGTACATCTGTGGGGAGCTTTTGGTGTTTTCAAGGAGAACCTAAGGACACCAAACACTAGCCATGTAAGATTGCAGGACTGTACTACGAAGCACCTCTAGTGACCATATGAGTAAGAGCCATTAAAAGGTTGCCTTGGAGACAAATGTAAACACTACCGTTCCAAAGAAAAGGCAGTGCTTACAATTGTGGCACTAGTGTCACTTTAAACCAAATCTACTACTTTAAGCTGTAGTGGTTCTGGTGCTTAAAGTATAAAATAAACTGGCTTCGTGCTGTGTCTTTTTTGTGACAGATGCAATAACTTGCAGTACAAACCATTGTCCATTTGGCTTTCTTTTCCTTGAAACATGGACATTGCCTCCATGTTCAATGCGCAGACGCCACGCATGAAAGCTTTCTTCATCGAACCCTCAAATTGCTCCCGCTCTTCATTAAGTCTTTGCACTTCTGCTCTGGCATCTTCTAGGGAATGGTTTAGCTAAGAGTGATATTAATGTAAGTAAAATAAGAAATAACAGAGAGAAGAAAGCATCTAAAACAATTTGTATGTTCAGAAAAACTGAAGACCTCTATAGGGGTGTGTTTAGGATGATAAAAAACAGCCCACTGAGGTTTTCTTTTCTTAATCTGTATTTATATTCACTGAAATACAATGTCTAACCCCTTAGGGACCAAACTTCTGGAATAAAAGGGAATCATGACATGTCACATGTCATGTGTCCTTAAGGGGTTAAAGGAACACAAAACTCAGAACACAAAACACAAGCTTGCTTTCAATAGAAATCTGTAATTTTCTAAATAAATCCTGTTAAACCTCCCTGGCTGTCAGTCAGCCAGCAGGCCTGTTTAATCTACCATGCAGTTTGTTTATAATAAAAATAAAAAAAGTACATATTAAAATGCAGTGGCCTAGACTTCTATGTGTACATGTAGCTAAGGACCAGTTTCATTTGGCTAATTAGAAATATGTATTTTACCTGTGTTATCTTGGATTCGTAATCGTTAGACATATCCACACAAACTTCTTCTGCTCGTGCTCGACAAGCTTTTTCAACTTTACCCTTCCAGTTAGATTCAACAACAGAACGCCAAGCCCTCCACACGTTCTTTATTAGAGTGTTCTTAAAGTGTCTATCAGCCACACTACATGCATATTCCTGCAATAAGAAATTGCTATTATTAATGAAACATACAAATTAAGTACAACACTTACTGAAGTGATTATGGTGTAAATACCCGGTCTCTGCAGCCTTTCTTTTCAAAAAATGGTTGTCTGCCCCCCTGCGCTGTGTGTGCGCCGGCTGGAATACACTCTGCCAGGCTTGCAATATCAGTTTTGTGCAACTTCTGCATGGTGACCCCCAGACACCTTGGACAAACTTGTGGGAGGGAGGGAAGGAATGGAGGGAGGAAGGGAAGGAAAGGAGGGAGGAAGGAAGAAAAGGAGGGAGAAAGGAAGAAAAGAAAAAGAAAGAAGGAAAGAAAAAGAAAGAGAGAAGGAAAGAAAGAAGGAAAGAAAGAGAAGGAAAGAAAGAAGGAAAGAAAGAGAAGGAAAGAAAAAGAAAGAGAAGGAAAGAAAAAGAAAGAGAAGGAAAGAAAAAGAAAGAGAAGGAAAGAGAAAGAAAGAGAGAAGGAAAGAAAAAAAAAAAAGTGTACTTTTTTTTAACCTCTGCCCTTATTTTTATTCAAAATGAGTGCAAGAAGTTGCCAGACCCTACTGGATTACAGATCCTATCATACTCACTGAGATTCTGGCTAAGGCTGATGGGAGTTAAAATATACACAACAGGTGTTTTTTTTTTTTTATATTCTTTATTTTTGGTGTGGATGGTTTTACAAAGTTTATTGCACATTGTGATACATATAAAACATCAGTATACCTTGGTGAAATGGTAGTTACATCATTGAGAAACATGTAAGGGCTTACAATACTTTAACAATGCTATTACTAATGTAATATTTATGGCATTATGAGACTGTCAAAAGCTCATTAAACCCAAAACAAGTGGTGGCAGGTAAAACATATATAGTTTTCTGTCTGCAACTGGACAGCAGCAGGTTACCAAGGATCCCAGGATATGTCACTGCTCGATGAAGTCCCATAACGACCATTGATATGGGCAGTCCTATGGAGGGCCCTGCAGCCTGTGAGTATCTTTGTTTTCCACCACGCTAGACCTTGACTCCCATTGCATCTTGGTCGCTGAGGGTCCCTAGACTCTGGCTCTCTGTTGTGTTGGAAGCTGGAGCTTCTGCAGAAAGGACAAGGACCTCATCCCCCTTGGCACTACTAGGGTTCCCAAGACTCCCCACCGGTACCTGAAGCGGTGTTCTCTCAGGAGTTTGGTGATGGGCAGGAACCTGCGTCTGGCCAGCAGGACTGAGAGGGGTAAGTCTGCGTAGACTGTAATCCTGCAGTTGTCTACCTGTACGCTGGGGTAATTTCTGGAACAGACCATAATGGACGAATTCACTGCTTTGTCCCAGATTAACGCAATCTCGTCTCTGGTGCATCCGCTGGGGCGGTCGGTGCCTTCCTTATTCTGAAGACTGCCACGAAGTGCGGTGAATCTCCTGCTTCTCTGACTCGCATTGCCCATGTCACCTTGTGGGCGAAGTCCAGTAGTGCTTCTGGGCTCACTGGACATTTTTCCAGCAGTGTCTTGCCTCCAGAGATGCTACCATACGGGAGAGGCTTTGGACCTGTTGTGTGAGGGCTACTACTTGGGAGTTCAGTCAGTTTCCTCTCTGTATTCCACTTCCCAATCTGCTGCCGCAACCCACCAATTTCGGTCTGCCTTCCATACTGCTCTTTGATTCTAGAGAAGTTTTTTTAATGTCCCCCTTCTTAGAGGGAGAAGTGTCTGAGTCCGAGTCTGCCCGTAGGTATACTCAACTGGCATTTTGTGGCAATCTCTCATCGTCCATGGAATCACTTGTGCCATGTGGCCTCCCCGACGCCATGTGTTTTCGGGCCTGCAATCGGGCGAAGGATAGTCGGATGTCTGGGTTGTAGCGGAACGCCAATATTAAATCCACGAATTCCGCTGGTTCAGGAAGTAATCCACAGTCAAGCGCTGGAAAAAGCAAGGCAATATCCCAAACCTCCCAGTAACCGGACGAAACACAGTTCTGAGAGTCAACTGAGGTCTTTATTTTCAGCTCCACAATTTATACAAGTCCCCATGCAAGGGGTTTCCTGAGTCCCCTCCCAGGGGCATTCCCAGAGGGGACTACACGGGGGACTTACAATACAGGGCATTTCTCCCATCAGGCACTGCTGCACGAGAGGGATCCTCCCACTGGAAGGTACCGTTAAGTGGATTATCCCTCCGTGCAGCAGAACCGACAATTTATATTAAAATGCATAACTGTGGTAATATACGGTCTATTTGCACGAATGGACGTTCGGTAGATAGCTGGGGTCTGAGCGCATCATTCGTGAGATTACTTCTCAGATCCCAGCTAAACCAACCGAACGCCGCACGAAAAACACATTTATTAAAATACATATTTAAATGACCGATTGCCTTCCAGGGAACAAAGTACCGAATGGCCCGGAGCTCCCAAACGGCCTGGAGGCTCAGCGGTGTTCGTGCCGTCGAGTAGCCGTTTTTAGTACCATGTGCTCGACGACCTAACACCGCTGAGGGAACAAAGGATCCAAGATGGCCGACCGCCGCATGGTCGGTAGTCGAACGGCGGCCACCTAGGAAAGCCTCTAATTACCGATTGCAACATTGTTGCAATCGGTTAACAAGCGCCACACGCCTCTAAGTGTGTGGGCTACTACATGGGGGTGTTTTCGGTTCACGAACGGCCCGCAAAAATGCCGTTCGTGAAACGAAAGAAAAATCCAATACAAACAGCTATCTGCATTCGGCAGATAGCCAATACAACAAATACATGTAAATTACAACCCGCATACATTCAACATAATTAAGCCCATATCCCACAACCATATAGGCAACCCTTAAAGGCACAGTCTCTTTATAGTGTCCAAGTGGCTATGTTTGCCATGGGTGATTTACACTCTCTGGGCGAGCGGTTTTTTTTTTTTTTTTATGTTGGCGCCCCATTGCACTTTGGGGGTATTAAGGAGTCTGTGGGTTCTTTTTTGAGGTTCTGTTTGCGGCAATGAGGCCTCTTTTTTGGTGTGTGGAGCCGGAGCACCACACATACGTCTGCTCTGTGTCTCAGCTAGCCACGCTCCCTTGCCAATTTGTTATTTGTGTAGCCTCACAGTGTCTATAATACTATGTTACATGGAAGTCAATGAATCATGATAAAAACAAAATGCATTTTACAGCAAAGTATTAATTGTGACTCAGGGTGCTGGTTTAAGTTTGTAATTACGTGTTATTGTACATTGTTTGACTGTGAGCTGTGCTGCTAATCTGTTCAGAAAACAAATTAGAGATTTCTTCTGTGCAAAAAACATTTATTTATAGACTGATGTAGAATAGATTAATGCAAAAATGTATTTCATTCCATCTGGGATTTAACTGTGGAGCCCTATTCGATAAGGTAAATCCAGGGTGAATCGATTAATTTGGGTGTGGATTAAAATGAATTTGAGGTTTGATGGATCATTTCTAATATATAACAACATGCCTTGATAGACTGTGGGCCCAGCATACCCTGCTTTCAGACTTTACCTCTTGTCTGGCATCTGAATGCTGAAGTCTCCAGTGAGTGAATGTTCGCATTAATTCAAGCTTCTGTTTTTGCTTCTCTAAAGCACGTCTTAAGTTACAAATCACCTTTTAATGTAAAGAAACACAATATTAGAATAATAATAAGGAACAGCCATAATAGTTATTATACTTCGTTATTAAACTGTTAAGGCCATAATACAGTTTGCTTTACTGCAATATACACATTTGTATTCAGTGATGTCTACCAACTAAAACAGTACCCCCAATGTACAGGTTTTATGGTGTTTTGGAAAGTTACAGGGTCAAATATAGCACGTTTCATTTTTCCGTTTATACATATTGAAATTAAAATGTAACGTTCATATTTGTGTGTGAAAATGCAAAAAACAAATATGAACGCTAATTTTGGCCACTGTTTGTGACTAAGTGTTGCCGCAGACCGGTAAGTCCCCTGGACAGCGAAGACGTTCTATGCCGCGTGGTTATGAAGCTTTGACTAACACTTTAACCCCTTAAGGACAGAGGTCGTTCTTAAGGGGTTAAAGTGTTAGTCTAAGCTTCATAACCACTACAGCCCTGGCCCAATTTCTTGGTAATTGGGCAAATAGTTTTGCAACAGTTTGCCCTTTTACCTGTGTCTCCGCTGTGTGCTGAGGGTCCTCAAGTGGGCAGTGACTACATCAATCTTCTGCAGCTCCTGCCAATCACTCTCAGCCAAAGGAGTTAAACTTTGTATCAGCAACATTTCATACTGAACCATTGCACATAAAACCTGATGCACAGTGACCAATTCAAATCAGTAACGTGGTCATGGTATATTTTTAGATTAATGCTCCCTGCCCCATAAAACTAAATAAATATAATAAATACATTTTTTCTTAAAAAGGTACCAGCACAGAGACACTCCTCACTAATGAGAACTGAAGACATAATTAGGCATGCGCAGCAATTGCCATGATCTGCCAATATAATGCAATGTGCACCCCCTCCCCAGTATTAGTCTGATTCTCCTGGTGGATCTCTGGCTAAAAGCCACTAGAAGTATATGGGCTGCAAAAATCAAACCGTGCAGTTGCTGAGAAACCAGGCTTCGGGGGCAGCATCCATGAACCAAAATCATTTCACCACGATTAGGTGATTTGGTGCTTAGACCGCCCCTTTAAGCTTTCCCTTTAAAAAAATAATCTCATGTATTTGAGCAAATAATTGATTTGAAAAAATATATATAAATAAAGTAAATGACTATACTAAAAGATAATTATAGATTGCATGAAAATGGCTCAGCATTAATCAATCGGCCCTGCAGCCTTCCTACTGAACACAGCATTAACTGTGCCCACGCAGACAGCGGGAGCAATATGCAAATCCAATGGACTAATCTATTATGTAAATGTATCGGAATTCCTCCGCTTAACCCATTACATATGACAAATAGGGATGTATATTATGTGGGAACTGAGATAAGTTAGTGTACAGTAAATTATTTTAATTCATGCATTTATATATTACACTACAACCTTGTAAAGTTTTTATTGCCAAGAGAACATGACCACCCTATGTGATATCAAAAAAGCAAGAACTTAAACTACATCATAACAAGTGAAATAACAATAACAGGTCCGGAGCCAGTGCTCCCTTAATAACCAGGTCAGCGCCCATTATTATATAAGAGACCACTGATAATGTGTAGCGGACTCCTGGTAACCCGACTCCGCTATTTTCCCTCTCAGCCAACTGGAAACTGTGTGATTACGCGCTTATCCCTCCAGTAACTAGAGGAGACATAGTTCTGGGAATCATCTGGATTATTCAGACAAAAACACACTCAATTTATACACAGACCCCAAGCATGGGGTCTCCATACAGAAACATAGCAAGCCACTCCCTAGTGTCCCTGTGTCTGGGAGATAATTGAATATAAAAGGTAACTCAATTATCTCTCGTTACAGGGAAACATACAGAATATTCATATCCCCAATATTAACAGAAACCCCACAAGTGTCATATCCCTGGATAGCACCTAACCTGGCAAAATAACACTCAGATCCGTTCAGTAGAATAGAATCAGCACCGGGGTAAAGCTCTGACTGTTCTGGGGTTCCGGTGCGAACGCTGTACAAGATATTCTCTTGCTTTCATGGAGAGAATGCTTTCCCCCCAGTGGGTAGTTCATATCTCCCAAACGCTGTTCGTATAGCTGGTGGAGAAGTGGGACGGGAAGCAGTACAATCTTTACTGGGGTTTGTGCGATTGCATTGCCGAAAAGAGTTCCAAGCACTCGACGACCAAGCACTGCTGCCTACGTTTGGGAGAAAAGATGCCGCCATTCTTTTGTCGACCACGTGCATTTGTTTACATGAAAGAGCAGCCATCCAGGGGAAGCACTCAATTATTTTCCTTGTGATTTCGCATGAATGTTAACGGTTTTTCCAGGGTTCTAGTGAGGTACTGGGGTGGTCCACGTTCAGGAGTCTAACCAACTGGGTTCGGATACAATAACTCCTGAACAGACGAAAAGTTTAAAGCTTTACAAAGGAATAGTATGTTCTGCCACACAATGCAAATCAATATCTGTGAATGTTAAATATTACTCTAAGCCTGGGTTTCAGTTCATTTTATTTTCCCCGTGGAACCCTTTGACATAGTGTACCAACATTGAGAAACCCCCCCAAAAAATTTTGCGCCACAGCACAACCTTTTTTTTTTTTTTTTTATAACTTGTTCTTTATTATTGTCAAGTATAATGGGGTACAGAAGGCAAAAGGGGAGGGGAACAATACAGAATTGTGCATCCTGACACTAAGTAATACATACATTTTACACATATTCCAGTGCTGGGGGCTGTAACACATTAGGGATCATAAGTTATGTGGGGAGGGGTCCTTTGCATGGATCAGTCAGTGGTTAACATGTCTGTTAGTATTGGGGGGTCTGAGAACTGCCTTGTATTTGTGTACTGTCCGTGGGACTGTTTGGGGGTCTCGTTGCTTAGTAACTGTTGAGTGTTTGTCTTTGTTAGTTCAAACAAGGTTTGCGAGATGGTCGTGGGATGTTCTGAGGCTAGTAGTTGAGATCTGTAGCTCTACCAGGACTTCCTTGTCTAGGGTGTTAGAGCAGGTGAAGGAGGAGGTGGGAGGGGAGGAGAGGAGAGCTGGGGGAAGGTGTGTGGAAGGGGTAACGAGGAGGTATTTGGTGCGGTACCAGGAAGCGTTGTTATGTTTGGCAAGGTGCTACGGAGGGATGTTGGACCTAGTCGGGGTCTGAATTGGCAACATTTTTCTTGGTCAAGTTAGCCTTGTGTCGGGTTAGGCTGTGCTGTTTTGTTTAGGTGTTGTTGACTTTTGTAGGTGGTTTCTCCACATCTCGGAAATGGTTGGGCTTAGTTTCCCTATGTTCATTTGGTTCCACATAAGGAGTTCGTAGTCTACCGTTGCAGACATTAGGGTTGTGATTTCTGAGACTGACGGAAGAATGGGGGTCTTCCAGTTTCTGGCTATCAGGGTGGACACTGTGCTGAGTATAAGGAATATAATTTTCTGTGTTGCTTTGGGGATGTTATCTGGAAATAACTTGAGAAGCACTGCTGCTGGGTCGTGTGGCAGGGTGTAATCTGTGAGTTCTCGGATCAGGTGTTCGGTGGTTTTCCATAGCTTATTTACGGTCTCGCAGGACCACCACATATGGAGCATAGTGCCTTCTTGTGAATTACAGCGCCAACATATGTCCGTTGTGTTAGGGTATATGGAATGTAGTCGGGAAGGTACCATGTACCACCTATAGAGTATTTTTCGTGCCGTCTCGAAGTGGGTAGAACAGTTTGTAGTATATGTTGGTGTACCCGTCGGGGCCTGGGCCTGGTGCTTTGCCCTTGGGCATTTTGTCAATACGATGGAGGATCTCTTCTGTGGTGATGGGCATGGCAAGTTGTGTTGCTTGTTGTGGGTGAATTTTGGGAAGTGCTATCTTGTTGAGATATGTTCTTATGGCCTCTGGGGTGGGTTTGTGTGTGTTGGGGTGGTCTTGTAGATTATATAGGGTGCCATAATATTGAGCAAATTCATTGCATATTTGCGTGGGTTGCATCACTTTTTGCCCTGATTGTGTGTAAATGAATTGTGTTCTTGTTTGTGCTTGCTTGTCGCGAAGCCTTTGTGCTAAGAGTTTCGTGGCTTTGTTTCCCATTGAGTAGGACGTTGCTTTGAGTTTCTTCAGTGCTGTGTTTGCTTTGCGGAGGTGGATTTCATTTTGTGCGGTTTGTATTTGTTCTTGGAGAGCTTGGGAGGGGTTCACCTGGCTTAGTCTGTGGAGGTCTTGGACTTTTTTGAGGAATGTGATCCTTGCGGTATGACTGATCTTTTTGAGATAGGCTGCCCTACTTAATAGTATCCCCCTAATGACTGGTTTGTGTGCTAGCCACAGTGTGGTGGGAGTGGGACCGTCAGGGGTATTGGTTGCTAGGTAGAGGACCAATTCTCTGCGTGTCTTCTCCATGAATGAGGATAAACTCGTTTAATCTCCAGGGGCTTCGATTTTTATATTGGTAGGAGTCTGTGAGGGTTAACACGACTGGGCTATGATCCGATATTGTGGATGGTCTTCTGTCGCATGCTCTGATCTGTTGTAGGTTTGCGCTGCTCATTAGGAACCCGTCTATACGGGAGTACGTATTATGGACTTGGGAGTAGTGGGTGTATTTCCTAGTGTTAGGGTGTAAGGTTCTCCATATGTCATAGAGGCCATGCGAGGACGGTAGTTTGTTCATGGAGTTGCAGCATTTGTGTAGGGATTTGTTCCGTTTAGTGGAGTGTCGGGCTGTAGAGTCTGCATTGGGGTCCAGTAAGTGATTAAAGTCCCCGCTGATAACTGTGGTACCTGTCTGGTGCTTCTCCACGTTAGCAAGGAGTGAAGCTAGGTACGGCCTCTGGTTGTCGTTGGGGAATAGGAATTAACTAGTGTGTGTTGTTGTTCAGGGTGCATATTAATATGATGAATCTGCCTTGCGGGTCAAGTTGGAGCGAGATGAGATCAAAGGCTCGAGAGTGGCTCAATAGGATTGACACTCCTTTGCTCTTAGTTGGGGAGGTAGCGTGGAACTGGTGTGGGAAGTTCTTAAGTCCTAGGGTGGATTTAGAGTCGTGTTTGAAATGCGTCTCTTGTAAGCAGACTATGTCCGCTTGTATGTTATTTAGCTCTCTAAGGAGGGTATGCAGTTTGTTGGGCGAATTGAGCCCGCAAACATTGTGGGTAAGTATCTTCATCATCTGGGAGTTATATGGTAGGGCTTCTCGTCAGTGTTGGTAGTGGTAGGTCTGCTGGGGCGGTGGGTGTGACCGAGTGGCTATTCTTGGTCGATTACAACCTTGTCAGTGGTTCAGTCTTGGTACCTAGAGAAGTGAGTCAGTTGCGTAGTACAAAATACAGAGTGAAACAAAACAAATACAGTATAACAATCAAACATTAAATAGGTATTAAGTAAAGAAAATATCATATAATGGTGACTTTCAGAGGTATGTGCCGTAGCTATGGCACTTCCTAACTGGGAGTGGTGTGAGCGGGTCGGGTCGCATGAAGGCCGCTTAGGGCTCATTTTGGGTCGGGTTCTCTCCGTTGCTGGTTCCTTTTGGCTAGTAACGCTTTGGCACAATCAGCACCTTAATGAAGAGCGAGAGGTCTTAAAATTAGTGGTTGAGGCATTGGCCGTCATGGATGATGGCCTAGTTAGTGTAGCGTTTGTGGCTCTGGGTTTATTGGGGGGGAGGGGGGGGTGTCACATATTTTGCCCCGGCTCTCTTTAGTAGGGAGTGTCAGTGGGGATAAGATATGAGTATTTCTATATTTTCAGACATAACGTGACATATATTAACACATTGTATAACAGTTAGGCATTAGGTAAAACTTGGTTTTAACTTGCTGTCACCGGGCGCCGACTTTCAGTCTTCCCTCGGGAACGTGCGTCTCGCTTTTTGAGGGCGCCTTTCTTCTTCTGTGTTTTTGCTGGAGGTCTGGAAATTGGATTGGAGGTTCCGGGACAGGCCCCATTGTCGCAGGAGGTTTAGACCTTCTCTTGGTGTGGCAAATGCTGTTAAATCTTGGGGTCCTATTTCTTCCGGTACGCCTCTCAGGCGTATGTTGTTGCGGCGCGATCTGTCCTCAATATCTGCTATTTTGGTTTCCTGGAGATAAAGTTTGTCTTCAATCTTACTGAGGCGCTCTTCTGTGTCAGCATTAGCTGCAATGAGCCTTCCCATGTTCCCCTCTAGGTGTGAGGTTCGTGTTTCAAGGCTAGTAATGTCTTGTCTCATGTCATTGATAGCCTCAGTGACAGTGAATTGCATTTTGGCCACTGCTGCATCTAGCATAGTTTGCAAGAGATTTTGTGTGAGTGGGGTGTCTGCTTGCTTACCGGCTGTGCTGGCACGGTCTGCATCAGAGTCTGTGTCGGCGCCATCTTGGGCCTGCTGGTCGGCCGGTTTATGCTGCGGCGTTCTTGCAGCAAAGAAGGCTGATTTTTCTTTAGCCTCCGCGGATTTCTTCGAGTGGTGTTGGAACATCTTCCTCGTGGTCTGGGACGGAGGTAGGCCGAAAATGATGTGTGTTAGCCGCGTTTTGTAGCCCGTGACAGCGGAGCTCGTTTAGTGTGCTGTCATCTCTCTCGACGTCCGGGCACGCCCCCCAGCACAACCTTTTAATGAGCAAATGTGATGTTTTCTTTTTTTGCAAGATTCGCTCAGTCTTGGAGTAATAAGAATAATTCTCTAACCTGGAAATCACTACCTGACTACAAAGGATGCAGTTTTGTTCTCAGCTCTTGGTAAGCAAGTAAAGCAACCATGGTTTTTGGGTCAGTACTGGGGCAAAGTGCATTGTTGCGTAACATAACTAGTAAACCAAATAAACAAATTTTTGTACTTTGGGAGTAGAAGCAATGCTTTTTGGTATATATGCACGGTTTGATTTCTACATATAGCAAACAGTACTTAAAAGCAGAATAGTTATTTATTTTTTAAATAAAATGATTTCTAACAAAATTTTACAAAAACAAACAAGTAAATTAGGGCAAACGTGTGATATACAAATTTCCACCGCACAGTTTGGAAAAAACCCAATCCTCAGATGCCACATTGGGGGCTCATCTAAAGGACAGCGCAATAAAACAAATACTTTCCCTCCTATGTGAAGCCAGATTGGGCACAATACTGACTGAAAAATAGCAAAGCCTGAAAGAATGAGGTTTCCTACACGTGACCGTCTGGCTGACAATGGCGAGAATAATGAAAAGGGAATAAGATTGCAGTCTCGCAATCTCTGCGGTTTCCAACTTCCGGTAGCAGTAAGGAGTGGCGGCCATGATGGATGTGGTGAAATCATGGTGGAACCCCAATTTTGCACACTATTTTGGAAATGCTGCTCTAACCACCATAACACCATGCCTGTCAAACGCTGCTAAATAAGAAACATAAGTTTGCTTCCTGGGGTGTAGCTTCACCCATGTTTCCTGTTAATCAGACACATGATACATTTGTTGTGGCTATGCATCACATGGTTTGGGATCTCTTCCCAGACCTGTCATATCCCATATTTACTGGAGTAGACCATTTGTTGTGGCTATTCACACTGCATGCATCACATGGTTTGAGATGTCCTTCCAGAAATGCCATAATCCCAGATTTACTGGAGTAGACCATGTGTAAACTGAGAGCAGCCATGCAATTTTGGGGATAAAATACTGATCCAATAAACCCTTGCTTGGCAATAGGGCAATGGTTTATAGGATAAAACTCTTCCGGGTGTGGGAGAGGTCTGCCAGTTGCACTGAAAATTTTAAAGAAAGTACTTTATTTAAAAAAAAAAAAAAATATTCAACACCAGGAATTATCTTTATAGGTCATAACATAAATACATAAATTACCACATAGATTGATTTTATATATTTTATTGTAAAAATGTTACAGTTAATATTACTGGCCCAATAAACTGTGCTTTAGAGGATTAAAGGGATTAAGTGCAGCTTAATAGATATCATGCTATAGCTAAACAAACCATCTCTAACATCAGCTGTGCATTTGTGTTAGAAAGCACTGTTCTTTGCCCACCAGATGCCAACACTATCGTTCTGGCTTCAAGATCCCTTTACCAAATGCCCACCCCATCCATCTCCTTGTGACAAAGTAATGAAGGAGGGAAAGTCTACATTAAAAAAAAAAAAAAGAAGTTTATACAGGGTTTGGCCAAGAGAAAATCGTCGTTAATGGGACACTCAAGAAACTAGAACCACTACAATTGCTATGTTAAATGTAGTGGTTTTGGAGCAAAAAAACATATCCCAGCCCCCTTCATGATGCAATGTCCTACTGTACAAGAGTGTATGTGAGGAGGACATTTGAAAAAAAACAAATAAAAAGGAAAATACAAATATTAACAGCAAAACACAACCATATAACCATAAAGTGCATTGAAACGTGTGGGAGGCTGTAGTGTCTCCTTAATAATATAAACCCACTAACTGGATCCTAACCTACACTATTCAGGCATTGCACCCCAAGTTTAATATCAAATAGATTGATATACACTGGAGTTCTTATAGGAGACCAGGGACTCCCCCATCTCCATGAAGACAGTCCTTGTCTAAACATGCTAGCTGAATCACAAAGAAGAACCCCCATTAGAGGACATCCAAACCATGAACCCCTTAAGGACACATGATGGAAATATTCCGTCATGATTCCCTTTTATTCCAGAAGTTGTGTCCTTAAGGGGTTAATATTAATTGTGGTTTGACATTGGACCTATTCCCACTTTATAATTGGAAAGTATGATTGTATATGGCACCAATAACTATTTCCCTGTCAGTTCCACAATGGAAGATCAGCCATTGCCCTTGACAGGAACTCACAATACATTCTGCCCACAGCCTACGCATTGTTCTTAAAGTGAGAGATTCTGAGTTGCATATACCCATTGGGGGATTTAGTAGGGGCATTCTGCACAACATGCGCTTTTTTTGTAGGCTATGAAATACATTATAACACATATATAGAAATACACAGGTATCAGTTTACACATACTATTTAAGGTGTTTCATGTTATTTGTCACAATTCTGGGACAAAACATTTTTAAGATTTTAAAGTATCACATACTCTTCTCTTTTTGTTTTTCTTCCACATTTCGGGAAACGCCAGTTTACTTTTATTTTTTACATGAAGTGAGATGGCCTGGATGCTACAGTTCCATCAGCATTGTTTGGAGTCCTTACAAAGTCAGCTTTCATGCTTCAATACTTATGAAATGAGAGCACTTAATTGGGTAATAAAGGCTCCAAACTCACCTGAAAACAAGCAAAAGCTAAATGGCACTTTTTGGGGATGCGCACATGCTAACATTTGGCTTTTTAATCCCCTGTTCTCTTCCAGACTGCAGCCTATAGGCATCTCACCTCCACACGCCTACAAAAATATAAAGTGTGCTGCTGCCTTGCTTTAGGTTCCACCTTTTAATTTTTGGCATGTTCCCAGCAGTTTTTCGTGGACACTATTTGGCTTGTTGGCTGAGGAGCACTGGATCACACTATAGCATTTTCACTTTTAGAAGGTTTGCTCACCTCATCTTTTCGTTGTATGGAGGTTTCGTACATTTGAAGTATCTCCTGAAGGTTGTCCAGCTGGTTGCTTAGCCGTGAGAGGTCTTCAGCGTGCTTTGCACTCTGCCTTTTCATTTCCAGTTTATGCTCCTCAATGATGGTGAGTCTCCATTTGCTTAGCTCAGCCATAACATTTATCTAAGAGCAAAGTAGTCATCGTGCATTAGTTCTACAAAAAGATACTGTCATTTAGTAAAGTGAGACTCTGTGCACTGTAAGCATGCTCCTACAAATGCAGTACCATTTCTAAAAATTGCTAGAAGCAAAATACACACATCAATGAACCTCTGGCTTCTGTAAAGATTGAAGCGCCTGACTGGCAAGGTTCATTAAGTCTGAGCATCCACACTGATCACAGTTATTGCCTTCCTGCAGAGATGGAGCCTTCTATTGTCCAGTCTCCTGCGGAATGATCATTGATTTTGTGGCATGGATGGTTTTGACTGGAGTGTGTCTCATTGCATATCAGATAAACAAAGGGGTGCTGGGGGAAGTAGATTTATAGTATGACTTTAATGTATTCACCCACAAATTTGTGGCTGACAAAGTTCACTTAACCCCTTAATGAAACATGACATGTGTGACATGTCATGATTCCCTATTATTCCAGAAGTTTGGCCCTTAAGGGGTTAAAGGAACACTCGAAGCACCATAACCACTCTGTATTGGCTATGATTCCACAAGTGCACTGGTGTTGTTTCAGTGTAATTTGTCAAACTATTTCAGCGCTGTACTGCATCTAAATCTCAGCTAATTGAGGAGCTGAAGAGTTGTTCTTTTGATCAAAAAAAACAGACATTTGTTTTCTCCAGCTCTGAATATATTCGAAGCAGTTCGGGAGTCTGGCAGAACCTAGGCAATCACACAAAGTCCCCAAGCGAGTATATTTGACTCTGCCTGGCAATATATAGAATTGACGTTTGCCTACTGAAAAAATAAAATTATACATCATTGAACTAATCACAGCCAGAATACTAAAATAATTACTGTGATCCAAGGGACAGTGTAAGCCTGCTGTAGTGGTTATAGTGCAAACTTTCCCCTTGCAGAATCCCCCTGTTCTGTGTCATACTGTTTCTAAGAGTATTGACACAAACTGTGGGTCCCCTGGGTATCTGTGGCCTGGTCCCTCACTGTCGATCACTAATGTGGAGGCTAAAGAGTGAGGGAGGAAGCAGTTCAGTAATGGCAATCTTTTACATTGTTAGACAAAAATGGGGAGCATCTATGCGTCAAAGCCACTACATTAAGAAGTAAATTTGTTGCTCAATCAGTAAAATAAAATTATAGTAAGTATGGAACATTTTTCCATTTTTTAAAAAGGCAGTCTAGACACTGAATATGTAAAACAAACTAAAAAGAATTAAAATTAATATCACGTGAGGAGCCTGTAAACCGGTTTTGTTCTCATACCTTAAGATTTCCACTCCACAGATCGAGCAAGTTCTCAACCTGTTTCATATTTTCGGGACAGACTGGCATCTGTGCTACTCGGGTCTGTCCAGTTTGGGAATGAGACGAGGGGGAGCTTGGAGTGGATAGTTCATCAGAATGAATGGGAGAGAACGCCTCCATGCCGGACAGGATCCCTGTTTGAAGCGTTTTTTTTGAAGGGGAAAATAAGAATTTATATTAACATATATTCTACAAATTTATAAATTGTTCACAAAACCTACCAATATAAATTAATATATGCCCAGTGTCAAAATGAAATCTGAGTAACACGTTAATAAATATTGTGTTTTTTTGTAAATTGGACGTTTTGTTGTCGGTTAAGTGTCATTTATAACAAATAAACATAGTAGGTACGTGTCTAGGCATTGAGACGCGCAGGCCTCCATCGTCTCTGCTCAGCAATTAAATTATACAATAGTATAATCTGGATTCGCAGATCCATATTGGTTAAGCTTACATTTAAATCCAGATTTAACATAACCGTATTGCGTCTTAGATTCAGGAAACGTGTTTAGCTTTTTTGTCTGTAGTTAGATAAACATCCTAATATAGCATCTGTGGTTGTGAGCAATGAGACGCACAGGTCTCCACAACATTCGGTTGGTAAAAAGGAAAAAAAAAAAAAATAATCAAAATAATTCTGTTGCATTCCTGTGACATTCAGTGCTCTGTTAGTGTGGCGTTGTTTAGTTCTTAGCTGTGTATAGTAAAACCGCTACACTTCACTAAGAGCTTACTTTGAGTGTTCATTCACTTCTGTGGGTGTGGGGTTGTCTCATGAGGGGTGTTGAGTCTCTCTCTGAATGTGTGAGAGTGTCGTCCGCTTGTGTTGGTTTTTGCCTGTCTCCTAAGGTATAGCGGGGGTCGGCACAGTGGTGCGTGTCAGTTGTCTTATGGTTAGTCATCTCTCAGGTGACCCAACGTGGAGGCTTGCCCTTATGTCTTTGTCCCTTCCCTTTGCTGTTTATGTGTTATTTTCCCTTTATGTGTGGTGTTTTGAGGTCTCATCCCCTGCTGCCTAGGGGGTTGCTTCAGTCCAGTGTTCAGGTCTCGTGTCTTTAGTCGAGCTTTGTCGTGTGTGACGTCGACTAGCGAGTGCCCTGCAGTCGGATCGAATATGATTATCTCGGTTGATCCCATTCTATTGTGGACTTGCTGGTTGTCCAATGTGTCCGCAGCTGGGGGGGGGTAGTGTATTATTTCTCTTCTTGTCGCTGGTCTGACTTCGGTCGCTACCTAGCTGGCCCCTTTTCCTCTATCAGGTTGAGTCTCTAGGTTTGTATTTGTGTGCCGATCCCTCTGATCCGAGGTGTGTATGCACCTTTGTGGTTTGTGGCCTTTTTTGTAGGTCGTGGATTATGTGATGTGTCCTTATGTGAGTGTGTGTGAACGAACGTGTGGGAGCGTGTGGTTAGGTTTAGTGGCGTTGTCCTCCACTTCCCATCTCAATATCATTTGGGTTTGTTATTTTTCCTTTTCGAGAGTTGCGAGTGTATTTGGCTTCCCTTATTTGGGCAGTTAGCCCACCTGCCCCGTCCCCATTAGGTCTGACCCTTCAGTTTACCTCCTGTCTAGGCCCTGTATTGTCTCACCCTTCTGTGTGGGTCTGCTCCCGCTAGGTCTTGCGCCATGTGGCAACTAGTTCATGGGTGGGCAGGTAGGGGCAAGCGTGTGTGCGGTGGTGTGGCGTCCGGAGAGTCCGGTCCCCCAGCCCATCCCTCTCGGCTCCCCCTCTATCTAGCTGGTGATTGCGTTCGAGAGATATATATACACACACCAGGGTCTCCATTGCTCCACGTTTCCTTCTTCCCCAGTAGATTTGCTATTTGTATTTCTTCCACTCTGTGTCTCCATTGTCCGATTGTCAGAGGGTGCGATGTTTTCCACACTAGTGGTATTTGGCAGGTGTCTAAGGTCAATATCTTTTGTATACTGAGAGCACTTCTTCCGTGTGGTGTAACAAGGCCAGTTCTGGTGTCAAACTTGTGGGTTCCCCCAGTATGTTCCGTATTTCCGCCTCAATATCCTTCCAGTATGGTTTGATTCTGCCGCAGTCCCACCATATGTGTTTAAGGCGTCCGGTAACGCCGGGTTGATCCGATGCAGTAAGGATGGTGTGCGGTACCATTGTGAGATCAGTTTGTAGTTTACCTCTTGGTAGTTCGAACCAGATGAGCTTTTGTGGTGTAGTAGTAGTAGTAGTATTTGTTCCCATTGAGGCCCTGTATACGTTTTGTCTGTTTGGTCTTCCCATTGTCTTGAATGCATCATTCTTTTTCTGTTAGCCTATTATCAAACGTTGGTATATTACTGAGACTGTGCCGCTCGCTTCCGGTGTCTGGGAGCATATCTTTTCAAACCACGTTAGTTCCCTGTGAAGCGTGTTTGTGTGTGGTAGGTTGTGGTAGAAATGTTTGAGTTGGGCATAGTGAAATTGGTGCATTATCGTGGGCGTACCTCCTTCCGTCATATCTCGCAGTGTCTTCAGTCCTGTTTCTGTCAGTGCTGTTTGCAGGGGTATGTATCCTTCTTGGTTGGCTAGTGGCCATGCGGACGGCGGTAGCCCGTTGCCTATGTTTGTGTTGTGTGTGATGGGGATCAGCGGGCTCGGCGTTGGTAAAATGTAGGGCGCTTTCCTCAACCTGGTCCATAGTTTGAGTGACAGGGGAGTCCTCTCAGAGTTCATTTGTGGCTTCTGCCTCCTTGTGCCAGATGAATACATGGAGTTGGTTGTCTGCGGAGTCCCATCGTTTGTGGGAAGTGGCAGTGTGTAATTCCCTGAGACGTTGCAAGATTGTTGCTTGATGGTATTTTTTTAAAGTCTGGAAGGGCAAGTCCTCCCCATGGTCTGGGGAGGCACAGCTTTGCGTGGCTAATCCTGGCTCTGTCTCCCTTCCATATGTATCTAATGATCGCTGTTCGGAACGTTTTGAAGAATATTTGCGGAATTGTCCTGGGTATGGTATGAAATTATATAGAATTACATATGTAGGGCATGACCAGTACTCAAAGGGTTAAAAAGCAAGATACATTTTTAAAACAGCCATTTTCTTCCATATATATAGTATTCGGGGAAGAATGTTCATCTTTACGACTGCTATTCGTCCCTGCCATGAGATATAGTTCCACCTCTTGAGGTTGCCTAAGATGTCGGTTGTGAGCGTATAGATCTTTCGCCTCATGTGTGACCCATATTCCAAGATATTTCATGTGGTCTGTGCACCAATGGAATGGAAATTGTTGTTTTAGTCTTGCACATTCCCACTCTGGCACAGTTACGTTCATTACGTCACATTTAGTTAGATTGAGTTTAAGGCCCTAAATAGGGTGTTTTACATTACATTTTCTATATTCCATGATGGAGTTTAGTGGTATTTACAACAGGGTTTCCATAGAACTAAGGGGCCAGGCAAAATGTTCATCCTTTGTTGATCCTTTGAGTGTCAGATGTGTAATTGATGTCACTAGTCTAATACTATCATTTCCTTTTTGTATCATTTTACCGCACTCCCTCTAGCATGTAAGCTCATTGAGCAGGGCCCTCAACCCCTCTGTTCCTGTGTGTCCAACTTGTCTGGTTACAACTACATGTCTGTTCGTCCACCCATTGTAAAGCGCTGCGGAATTTGATAGCGCTATTTAAAATATCATAATAATAATAATAATAATAATGGCAAGAAATGCGTAGGGCATGACCAGTACTCAAAGGGTTAAAAAGCAAGATAAATTTTTTAAAACAGCCATTTTCTTTCAGGGTTATTTACTAAAGTGAGAATTCACAGTAAATTTTGAATTTAGGGCCACAGTAGCTTAACTGAAAGCAAAGTAAAGAGGACTTGGAGAATTATTTACACTTTTGCCATACATTTGTAATTCATCTTGAATTCTCACTTCAGTGAATAATCCTATTAGAAAGAACTAATATATAGTCATTATAACATCAAAACACTCAGTTAGCAGATTCATTTGTTGTTGCTCTGTCAATAACCTGCTAGAGCTTGCAACCTCGAGTGTGTGATTACAGTTCTATTAGTGAACCAAGAGATAAGAACTTCTAAAGCACATTGTGATGTAAGATCTGATTGAAAATTAAACCATTTTTTCTTGCAGCCAGGATAACTGTGACTAGGGCTGGATGAACAGAAAGAAATGTAATTGAACACCCAAGTATTGAGACTGCAGCTGTATGATTGATATACACAAAGACTGCTTCATTATAGTGTCCCTTTAAACGTCAAAAACATAACTATCAAAACAAAACCCAGCTGTCGGAAATAAACAATGAGGCGTATAGTTTATAGTAGAACGTTCTTAAAAAGCATATTACCGTTGGGATTGTCTGCTGTTGGGGTCCTTGGCTGAGAGGCTTCGTCTTCTGAAACAGTTTTATGTTCCTTTTCCGAGGACTCTCTGATATGTTCAGTTGCTGAGGAGTTATTTGCTACAGAGAAATCAAAAGCAGAATTTAAATAAAACAATACAACATGGAGATAACTAAAAAAATAGCAAGTGTTAGACATGGTTTGAAGCTGTGGACAATCGATGGGGCTATTCCATTCAACAGGGACTGTTCCTCAAGTGAACATAATAAAGAACTACCGGAACACCATAGCGTTTGTAATACAGACCTGTTTTCCAAAACATAATAGGGCTGCTGTCTCGAGTTCCTTGTGCCATAATAACTAGTGAAATAAAAGTTTTACTTACCTTTTTCCAATGCCAAAGTTCCCTCTGTGCTGCTCATCTTTCTGCTTCCGCAACATTATAGCTGAGGCCAGGCAAGTGCCTGTAGTGGCAGTCAGTAAGAGGTGGATTTAACCCTGCGATGTAAACATTGCACTTTCTAAAAGGACAGAAACACCGCAAAGACAACTTCATTGAGATGAAATGATAAGAGTGACGATGGTGTTCCTTTAAAGAAGCACCAATGTAGTGGTTTTGGTGCATAGATGCGGCCTCTTTTGACTGGCAACATAAGAAACAGCAGTGCTTACATTTTGCCTAAACCATGCCACTATACTTAAAGCCACTAGTGGAGCATCCTCACTAAAGACCCTCAATTTTTAAATATCTTCGTGTTTAGCGCCGACACACAGCATGATTCACCAAAAGGATACAATGCTTTTAATGGAGAAGATTTGGATTTAAAGGAACACTATCGGGTCAGGAACACAAACACGTATTCCTCATCCTTTAGTGTTAAAACCACTTTTAGGTGGCTTGCCCCCTTCAGAAGGGGTTAAAACTTACCTTATTTCCAGTACTGGCCCGCCCCCGATCCGGCTCCTTAGTGACATCAGAATGTAAGATTTTTAAATCAGCAAGGCGGCGGGATGGGGGCAGGGCCAAACGCCAGCTTGGCCAGTCAGCACGTCCTTAAAGAGATGCTGATTGGCCAAGCATGGAGAAACTATCATGGGAAGCAGCATGGACATGATCTTGCTATTTCTCCAGGTTTAGAATGCTATGTTATTGCAACATTTATATAAACCTTATTCGTTGTGTCTTTCTGTATCTTACTCGCAAATTAGGTCTTGTAATAAGCCAACCAGAGACCTCTGACAGACAAGTCTCGAGAGGCGAATCACTGCTCAGGACTTACTTTGGCTTACTTCTAATGCAAAGCGTGGCAAGCGGACATAGGGTTATTTATGTTTATCTGAGGTTGCAATGATGAGGCCTTTTCTAGTGACTGGGCAGTAATGGCCGCGGAATTTGGCCATTTTGACTGGATATTGCTCACGTCCTTGTATATTCCCATCTATACTTTCAGTAAAAAAATAAATTAAAGTGTGAAAGGAAAAAGTGCATGCAAAAAGCTCATTGATTTGAATTAGGAAATAAAAATATATTATCATATAGAAATTATAACATACTCCGTATTGCTCTCACAAAAAAAACAACAACTGAGAAGACACTGGTTGGCTGATGGACCTCAGCAAGCTCCTGGTTGAAGAATAGATCCTTGGGCAAGGAACAGAGGATTGTAGACACATTCTAAAGCAGAGTATTTTCTATGCATTACTGTTAAGCAAAAACAGGGGGCGTACATCAATCTAGTAGTGAACTTTATTAGGAAATGTATCTGCTATAAAACACCAACTTCCTGTAGTAACAAAAGTAAACATCAAGTTCCAGAATTGGTACATGTATACCTAAATTTCTCAAAATATAATTGTAGCGGATGGCACTGGGCTGTCCTGAGAAATTACATGTGTTTGAATGCATTCGTGTAAAATAACTAAGTTATATGTGTTAAATGTATGGTATTCGTCTGAATGTTAAGTAGTTTCATTCCCTTAGTTTGTTCGAATGAAACTACCGAACAGTCAGACCTCCCCTGTGTGAAGTGTGCCTTCAATTACCCGTTGCAACATTGTTGCGAACGGGTAATTGACAAGCTGAGTAGCCGTCCTTTGTTCTCGGGTGTGGCCGCCATTCGAAAAACGAACACGTGGCGGCGGCCATTTTAAAACTCCCGAACAGCGGTGTTTTGCCGTCGAGTGTCTGGAACTCAAATCGGACACTCGACTAGGCGAACACCGCTGAAACCTCCACAAGCCCGGTCCGTTCCAAACTAATAGAAAGAACCGAACGAGGGGATTCAGGCGAACCCTCCCTAGCCTCTGTAGCTAGAGGCTTTCGTGCCGTTTATTCCCTGACTCCAGGACCAACCGCAGGGCCCATTCGCATTGAACCTCATTCGGCTGTTCTATCCAGTGTGGTCGGTCATTTTATTCCCTCCATAAATTTCCCGAACCCCTGGTCTGATCTGGGTGATTTTTGGATATGTTGTTCACCCAGATCAGGGCTACCAGGGGATGTATAATTTAAAGGGGTACCCCTAAGTTTAGGGGTACATCCAGAAACGGGGGGGAATTGGTGTGCTGGATAAGGGGATGATGATGCAGGCTGAGGGGAGGAGATGTGTGGGAGGTTACCAGGACAGGATTGGCTACTGTACTAATGAATGAAAATCCCTCCCTTGCATGGGAGCAGGCTTTAAAAGGCCACTGTGTGAATAAATCTTTAGTTCTGCTCCTGAAACTGTGTGTCGTCCAGTTATTGGGATTGCTGTTGGGATACTGCTGTGTTATTTTGCCTGCTGGATACTTTACCCTATGGATTTATAATTGCTTGTTCCTGAACCTCCCTGGGATCCAAAGTGGAGATAGACTGTGTAATACCAGCTCTCCGCTACAATAATTTTTCATACAAAGGCACTAAAAATAAAAAATAAATCTAACTTTACTGTCAGGCACATATCGCTGGATCTCTATAAAAGGAGAGAGTGGTTAAAGTTAATCATGCAGTGAATTTAAATATATCGATTAGCTACCTGACCAGAAAGGTGTATTGTAGATCTAGCAATGCATTCATGCATACCTACTGCAAGACTTAGTTAGATTTTTACCTGATATTTGCTGGTGTATAGTTTTCCCCAGCCTTGAAATCCTGTCACTTGTAGTTTGTTCAGCATTCACCTGATGGTCCCTGAGGAAATATGGCTCAAACTTTGGAGTTACCACGGCGTAACGAAGAAGCTCATCATATTCATCCTGTCATTTAAGTCAGAATAAAAGAGAGACTGCTTAGTCATGTAACACGACGAGCAACTTGATGTTTTTTCCAGGAAAATGCATGAGCAATTCTAAACAATCTTAAACTGCAGCAGCGGTTAAAAGAGCAGGGTTAATACGTGTAGGTATCTATATGTCCATAAGAATCACATCTCTCAATTGTTGGTACAATATCTCACTATACCATTATTTTTTCTGTTTCTCCAACACATGCTGCACTGAGAATCTCACTAATATGTTTGAGCCAGCTGTTTAGGACAGGGCTTGACAAATCCCAGATACCAGGATAAAATTCCTAGTCACTATGGTGACCTGGGTGTTTTGTCAGCTCGTTCAGCCCTCCTGCTGAGGACGACGGCTGTGAGCAATGGAGGTGTCCAGCTGAGGGAGAAAGGAGCCAGGCTGCTGTGCACATCGGAAGCCGGCGGCGAGGGCACTGTAGTCTTCCTGCTCTGCTCCCTCGTGTGCCCTGTAGTTGATGCCGGGATACCACGCCACTGCAGCCCGGCATCACTAAACAGTGAACATGGGAACAGAGCAAGAAGATGACAAAGCATCCCCACTGGACCCCAGGTAAAGGATCCACTTCAGCTCTCCCAGAGAGTGTGGTATGCGAGTGTGTCAGTGTGGGAGAGTCTGTCAGTAAGCATGTGTTAGGTGACCGGCCTCCCTCCAATTGCATGGGAAAGTTGTTTTTACTCACCTTTTTTCTGTGCCGGTCTTGCAGTGGCCATTGCATCAGAAGGCTATTGCGCACAAGCGGCAAAACGCTGTGCTGCGCCAGTCAGCATCTCCATGGGGAACATTCAGCGCCTCCATCCATAAAGCAAAGACACTTAATGTAGATGTGTGCAGCACTGGACTGAGTGACTGCCACTAGAGGTGTTACTAGGCAGCAATGTAAAACACTACCTTTTGCCTATTCTCTAAAAAGGCAGGCTTTACATTGAAAAGTGTGCATGGTCAGGCTATAGACACCAGAACCACTACATTAAGCTGCAGTTCTTGTGGCTATAGTTTCCTTTTAGGCATTCAATTTTTGTTGTTGAAAATAAAAGCTTTGAACAGAAGGGATACATCCCTATTGCCAAGATAATGAAAGGACAATAACGATTTCATTACTCATCACTTCCAATAGATGAAACACACACTATCTGCCATCATAGTGATAACACTCTGAACGGCGAACACAAAGTTAGAATTCCAATACTAAAACCTATGGCAAAAAAAAAAAAAAAAAAAAGGTATATGTGCAAGCCTTGCAGTACCATAAAAATGTAAATGATTAAATATGAAGATTGGATTAGTGTTCGAAATCCAGCTTTAGAGAGAGTCTTACATCCTACCTGAAGATCTGAGGATACTGAACTGCCATGGTCTGAATCTTTGGGATTGACTGGACTACTAGAGCTCTCCTCATCTGAAGACATCTGCACAAAAACATTGCACTTGGTAAAACTTTACAAAAACAAACAAATCGTATCCTATATACGGAGCTTTAAATACATCTATTGATTTATTATGCATCCTGTATGATCTTAAGAGCAGAATCCAGATAGAGACAGCTTTCAATTACTACTTTCTAGAATTGGTGTCAGGAGTGCACAGGTGCCGTCTAATAAATTGGAACTTTATTTGAAATATACTAGCGCTCTGCACTATGTTGTCTACATCTGTTTTTAGCATAAGGTAACCAACACCAGTGATGTCTGTTTATTTGAAGAACTTTCTAGTTGGAATTTGCAAGGTTTCATTAAATGCTACATTATGACCTATGCTTTGTGAGTGCAATTAACAGCACTTATGCATCAGTGGTTACAATATTCCCCTATGTTGTTATTTTTGCTTCTCAGATTGGCTGTATCTCATTTTTTTCCTTTATAGTGTTAAAGGGACACTATAGTCACTCAAAACAAATACAGCTTAAAGTAGTTGTTCTGGTGAGTATAGTCAGTCACGCATGCATTTTTATGTAAACACTACCACCTAAGGACACCTCCAGTAGTCACTCCTCAGATAGTGCTGCACAGTGTCTCCACCCTCTGCATGGAGACACTGAACTTTGGTCATAGAGATGCATTAATTCAATGCATCTCTACGAAGAGGTGCTGATTGACCAAGCCGGCGTTTGGCCCCGCACCCTGTCCCACCTATTTGACGATTTCAGCCAGAGGAAAAGCATTGAATTGGCTGAAACTATACATTCTGATGATGTCAGCAAGGAGTTGGGGCCAGCTCCGGCAGACCTGTGCAGCGCTGGAAATAAGGCAAGTTTTATTACTTTTTACGGGGCTAAAGGGGGCATGGCCACCTAAATGGTGTTCCTGATCCTAGAGTGTTTCTTTGAACTACATATCAAGATTTGTGACAAATCGTTGGAGAATACTTTTTTTGTACTAGAGATAGAATATATATTATATATACATACATAGACACACACACTTATGATATTTATAGAGCGCCGTCAAATTCAGCAGTGCTTTACAATGGGTGGACGAACAGACATGTAGTTGTAACCAGACAAGTTGGACGCACAGGAACAGAGCGGTTGAGGGCCCTGCTCAATGAGCTTACATGTTAGAGGGAGTGAGGTAAAATGACACAAAAAGGTAAGGATTGTATAGTACAGTTGCAGAAGAGGAATCAGTCAGGAGCTATTAACAGTTTAATTGATCCGCTTTTATGAAGAAGTGGGTTTTAACGATTTTTTGAAGGAGTGGAGACTGGGTGAGCATCTAAGGGAGGAGGGAAGCGAGTTCCACAGGAACGGTGCAGCCCTCGAGAAATCTTGAAGGCGAGCATCAGAGGTGGGAGTAAGGACAGAAGATAGAAGTAAGTCTTCAGCAGATCGTAAGGGCCTAGACGGGACATACTTGTGTATAAGGGAGGATAGATAGGTGGGAGCAGCATTATATAGAGATTTGAAGGCAAGAACCAGAATTTTAAATTGAGCTCTATATCTTATAGGAAGCCAATGTAGGGACTGACAGAAGGGTGAGGCATGGGAGGTGCCGGCAGACAGGAAGATGAGCCTCGCCACCGTATTCATTATGGACTGTAACAGCGCAAGTTGGGAGCACGTAAGACCATTGAGAAGCGGATTACAGTAATCAAGGCGAGAAAGGACCAACACCTTAGTCGCATCTGGCGTTAAGTAGGATGCGCGCAATGTTTTTGAGATGGAAATGACAGGATTTGGCAATAGACTGAACATGAGGCTTGAAGGAGAGGTCGGAGTCAAAGAGAACACCTAGGCAGCGAGCCTGCGTGGTGGAGCTGATGGTAGCACCGTTGACTTGGAGGGTGACAGACACAGGAGTAACAACACTTGAGGGAGGAAAGACCATAATTTCAGTTTTGGTCAAGTTTAGTTTAAGGAAGTGGCATCCTGTTAGAAACAGCAGAGAGGCAGTCAGAGACACTAGTCAAGAAGGACAGGGAGAGATCAGGAGAGGAAAGGTAGATTTGCGTGTCATCTGCATAGAAATGATATTGGAAGCCAAAGGAGCTAATGAGTTTACCAAGGGAGGCAGTATAGATGGAGAACAGTAGGGACCAAGGACTGAACCTTGGGGGACACCAACAGAGAGGAGTTGGGGAGAAGAAGCAGAGCCAGAGAAAGAAACACTGAAAGAGCGCTGGGAGGAGCACCAGGAGAGAGCAATATCTTGTAGACCGATATTGCGGAGGATGAGAAGAAGCTGTTGATGATCAACCGTGTCAAAAGCCGCAGACAAGTCATGGAGAATTAGGATAGAGTAGTGACCAAGAGATTTTGCAGCGAGTAGATTATTGGATACTTTAGTCAGTGCCGTTTCCACAGAGTGCTTAGCGCGGAAACCAGACTGAAGCGGGTCTAGCAGAGAGCTGGACTCGAGGAAGTCTGTCAATCTCGCATACACAATTTTTTCAAGGATCTTGGATGCAAAAGGCAGTAGCGAGATAGGACGATAGTTGGATGGGGAGTTAGGGTCAAGGTTGGGCTTCTTTAGAATTGGGGTTACAGTTGCATGTTTGAAGGGCAATGGAAATATACCAGAGGGGAGAGAGAGAGATTGAGAATTTTAGTGAGAGGTTGAGAAAGAGAAGAAGACAGAGTACGGATGAGATGTGAGGGAATTGGATGTAGGGAGCAGGTGGTGGGGCGGGAGGACTGGAGCAGAGCTGAAATCTCTTCCAATGTAGCGGGTGCGAATGAACATAGAACAGCAGAGGGAGTGAAGTTAGGGGAAGTATTGAAGGGGAAGAAGAAAGATGAGAGATCTCTTCCCTGATTGTAGAGATCCTGTCAGTGAAGTGAGTTGCAAAGTCTGAGGCGGTCAAGTTAGTAGGTGGAGGAGGAACAGCTGGGCTAAGAAGAGAGTTAAATGTGTGAAATAGTTCGCGGGAGAGTGTGCATTATGAGGGTATCGAAGTAATTAACTTTTGCAGAGGAAAGAGCCAAGCTGTATGAGCTCAGCATAAATTTATAGTGGAGAAAGTCAGATGCACAGTGAGACTTTCTCCAACAGCATTCAGCAGTTCTGGAGCATTTTTGGAGGTACTGAGTGAGCTTGGTGTGCCAGGGTTGTTGTTGGGAGGGCCTGCGGCGTTTAAATGTACAAGGTGCCATGATGTCTAGTTGAGAGAAGAGGGTGGAATTGTAGAAGGAGGTTGCAGAACTAGGACAGGTGAGGTTTGAGATAGGTAGGAGGAGAGTTTGGAGATTAGTGGAGAAATGCTCTAGGTCAAGACATTGGAGGTTTCTGTGAGAGGGATGTACAGACGGTGGTGTCAATTGGATCTTAGGTATGCCAATGTCAAAAGTCAGCAGATGGTGGTCAGATAGAGGAAAAGGAATATTGGAGAGATTAGAGGCAGTACAGAGGTTGGTGAAGGCAAGATCAAGAGAGTGTTTCCTGCTGTATGGGTTGCTACATTGGACCATTGCGTAAGACCAAAAGGAGGAGGTTACAGAGAGCAGACGAGAGGCATCAGTGCAATTGGGGTTATTGAAATCCCCAAATATAAGGGAAGGAGTGCTAGATGAGAGGAAGTGGGGAAGCCAGGAAGAAAAGTGCACAATGAATAGTCTAGGATATAGATAGATAGATATATATACACATACACACACACATATATGTAACATTATTTTACACAGTGTTATTTATGACTAAGTTTGCATGCTAAGCACATTTTTTGTGAATATTTTCTTGAACATGTTGCTAAAAACTGCCATTTGTTTTCTTAAATTGTTTAGAGTTTTGCCTTTTTTTATTTTAATTTACACATAGTAAGTATATTAGAGAGTATGTTATCTCTAGAGCAGGGGCACCTATAGCATTGTTGGCGAAAATGCGTGCGTGCATGCAACACTTCTCAGTTAGATGCACAAGCACACCTTTGAGGCATCATGTGTTGGCAAAGTCAACGCTGCAATACCTGGGGAGATTTAAAAATATTTTAAAAAACAGTTTTACCTGGGGTGGAAGAATAAAGAACAGTCACGACCCTGCAAGTCACAGTTCCTCTTTAATTGATAGTGTAAGTAAGTCTTTTACATGAACATAAAAAAAAAAAAAAAAAAAAAAGAGAAAAAAGTTTTATATTGTTTATACAAGGATTTAAGGGGCATTGTTAATAGCAGAATTATCAAAAAACCATCAGCCCTGTTCAACAATGAGACAAGACTTTGCCTGCGGAAAATGTGAAATCAGAGAAAAAGGGAAAGAAAAAGAAATTGCAAGAACGAGTGATTTATTACCTAAACACCTAATTGTAGTGAACTGAAAACTACATTTTAAAATGAAAAGTTGCACCTGTTGTAGTGGATCTGGATAGTTTTTCTAGATTGGCTTATTTGACCCAATTAGTGAAAGTAGCACTAGATTTAGAATGCCCTGCAGTAATTTTGTGATGTGTGCCATTTCGAGGACAGTATCCACCTTAGACACTTGAAATTGTCATTCAGTGTAAATATGTAGGTCTCTTTTAGAGTACCAGCATGATGGATGAGGGCAGACAAAGAAAAATCAGAGAGAAAATGCTGGAGCAGATTGTAATGTTTTAGGGTTACAGTATATTTGCTCCAAGTTATTTCACACAGTCAAACGAATACTTTATCCTGTCTACTGTCTGTCTAAGACTACAGAATAGGTACATAGTTATGCTTACACCATCTGATTCAATAATTCAACTCATTTTATTAAAGATTATTCCAACTGCGTGTGCAAAGAGGTTTAGAACATCCACAAAATGTATGTTTGAAAATGTATGTTCTAGCACAAAAATCACTAATCACAAATACTTCAAAGCAGAAATGAGGGTTACTCTAAAACAGCATGACCACTTCATTAATTTGAAGTGGTCATGGTGCCTGGAGTCCCTATGTGCGGTGTCGTTATGACAAGCTGCATTAACAGAGTTAACCCCTCTCCTGCCTGAGGTGGCATTACACGTCAGAGAGTCTATAGCCAAACCCTGAACAAGAGTTCTGAGTAGCTAATGTTTATTCAGTGCATATTGGAAGTCTGACATCGGCACACAACGTACACTTGCGACAAGCATCCAAAAGCGTCACGGAGTAGGGCCATGCAGGAAGCATGCTATTCTCCCCTCCTCCCGAGCCGTCCATGACATTATCATATATGTAAACATTTTTAATCTAGTGCCAGTTGGCAGGTAGCTCACCATGGCCTATTTGTTAGGGAGTTCAGTTCCATGCAAGAAAAAGTTCATAACTGATATTCCATTATCTGGAATATCATGTTATGCAATCTTACAGCAATTTTGCATGTTTTCATACATAAGGGTTATTAAATATTGAAATTTATAGGTAACAGTCAAATCCGTATTCAGACCGTCTTTGGTTAATACTCCTATTAAAATGTGATGCTATAGCTCATATTAACATTTTTATACAAGTTTCTGTTTCAGAGTACAGAGCACACTGTGATTGACAATGTCATGTCCCCGTATGCTTCCGTTCAGCTTTATTTAAAACAAACTGACAGGCTGCCAATAACTCTGTACATGTAAAGTCAAGGGGCAAATATAAAAGGGCCAGTATACACATTTAAAAATTTTTTTAAATCTCTTGCATCACACACACAAACCCCCCCTCCCCCCCCAAAAAATACCCTTTAAATCTTTATTGATATGCTTTCCTAAAGAATGGAGTTTTTCCATGATGTTTTGAAGGAACTGAGACTGGGTGAGAGTCTAACGGAGAAGGGAAGGGAGTACCAAAGGAACAGAGCAGCCCTAGTGAAGTCTTGAAGGTGGGTGTCAGAAGTCGGAGTATGAACAGACAATAGACGCAGATCTTTGGCCGAATGTAGAGGCCTGGTTGGGACATTCTTGTGTATTTGTGAGGATAGGTAGGTAGAAGCAGAGTTATGTAGAGATATTCAAGCAAGCACCATAATTTTAAATTGAGCACTCGGTCTTACAGGGGAAGCCGGTATAATTACTGACAGAAGGTAAGGCATGGGAGGTGTGGGTGGACAAGAAGATAAGCCTTGGGGCTGCATTCAATATAAACTATAACGGGGCCAGCTGGGAACATGTAAGACCACTGAGAAGCGTATTGCTGTAGTCAAGGAAAGAGATGATAGCGGTATGAACCAGCATGTTGGCCGCATCAGCATTAGAATGGGCGGATGAGAGTTACTTTTTTTAAGATGGAAGTGGCAGGATTTAATATGTGATTGGACTTGAAGGGTGAAAGAGAGGTTGGAGTCAAAGAGTTCACCTAGACAGCGAGCCTGCCAGAGCTGACGGTAGTACATTGACTTGAAGGGAAATAGCAGAGAGGCTGTAATGAGTCAAGAAGAAAGGCGAGAGATCACGAGAAGACAGATAGATTTCCGTGTCATTCGCATGGAAGTGATATTGGAAGCCAAAAGAACTAATGCATTTACAAAGGGGAGCTGTTCGAGATCAGTAAGGAACCAAGCACAAAACCTTGAGGAACATCGACAGAGAAGGTTTGTGGAGAAGAGGAAGAGCCAGAAAAAGAAAAACACAGAAAGAATGCTGGGAGAGGCAGGAGGAGAACCAGGAGAGAGCTGAGTCTCATAGACAAACATTATAGAGGATGAGAAGATTGATCAACAGTGTCGAAGACAGCAGAAAGGTCAAGGAGAATGAGAGACTAACGACCGCTGGATTTAGCAATAATTAAAAACACTGGATACTTGTATAACAAGGGATGCGTTCATGTTAATGTTTTGAGCATGCACCATTTTTTATGCATTAAAAGGATCACTATAGGGTCAGGAACACAAACATGTATTCCTGACCCTATAGTGTTAACACCACCATCTAGCCCCCCATGGCTCCTCATGTCTCCATAAACATAGCAAAAATCTTACTGTATTCAAGCCTAAAACTGTAACTCTGCATGCTGTTAGACTCAGAAAAACAAGCAGTCTGCTGACATCATTAGAAGTGGTGGCCTGATCCAATCACAGTGCTTACCCATAGGATTGGCTGAGAGTGACAAAGAAGCAGATGAGGGGCAGAGTCAGCATGATTCAAACACAGCCCTGGCCAATCAGCATCTCCTCATAGAGATGAATTGAATCAATGAATCTCTATGAGGAAAGTTCAGTGTCTGCATGCAGAGGGAGGAGATACTGAATGTTTGGATGCATTTTAGGCAGCCATGACCCAGGAAGGATCTCTAACAGCCATCTGAGGAGTGACCAGTGAAGTTATCACTAGGCTGTAATGTAAACACTGCATTTTCTCTGAAAAAAGACAGTATTTACAGCAAAAAGCCTGAACAAATTCAATAAGCTGTAGTTGTTCTGGTGACTATAGTGTCCCTTTAACCTGCTACTCTAGCTTTTTTAACATTTTTTGCGTGTGCGATGTGCACCTACCACACGCAGTGAGGAAGGATTTCCACCCTTCAGAGAGAGCAGAGTTGTGAACTGTGCATGCAGGAGTCAAGGCTCTAAAATAAAGCCTCATTCACTAAACAGTGAACTCGGCTGTGTGTATACGAATGGTAAACGCTGTATTGCTGCAATCAGTTTAAAGAACTGTTTAAGTTGTAATATTTGATGATGTGAGCTCCTTTTTGGAGATAAACCAATTATGGACAGGGAATTTAGGGAAGATCTCAACCCACCAACATTAGACGCTTGTGTCAGAAAAGTGTGCATGCAGCTGTAATCAAACTCAACAGTGTCAATGGGGACATATTTAAAAGACATATATACGGTAAATAAGTAAAATTGTTTTGCCAGTATTTTATTTAATGCATTAAAAAAAAAAAAAAAAACATTTCCAAATATCAAGTATTTAATCCTATCAGCCTCTCATCTACTGGCACAATGAATGGCTTCTACACTTGAACAAAATACCAAGCAATAAATAGATGGGGTGGGATAGAAGAGCAGGATAAAAATAAGGAATACTGCATAACATGTTAACATTCTACATATTTTTGCCTATATTTATAGACACCCATAAAAAAAAAAAAAAAAAAGTTATGTTGGAGTCTTTAGTTTCACAATCTAAAGATAACAGAAAGTTCACAAGCGGTTCGTCAGCAGCATGTTTGTGCCTGTTCAGTGATACCTTGTTAGCTGAGTGGCGGTGCCCAGTCAGTTATACAATGTTAGCAAGGAGATCAGTATTAGCTGGTCATCATCTGGGTGCTGGCGGTCGGTATTAGCTGGGTATCTGGGTGCTGGCGGTCGGTATTAGCTGGGTATCTGGGTGATGGCGGTCAGTATTAGCTGGGTATCTGGGTGATGGGGGTCGGTATTAGCTGAGTATCTGGGTGATGGGGGTCGGTATTAGCTGGGTGTAGCGGATAGCACCAGGCGACCCTACAAATATACTGTTTTTACCTGCATTCGTGTATCTGCTGTATTTTCTATGTATTAAAAAGAATTGTATTCCTCTGGTTGTTCGGTAGTTTCATTCCCTTAGTTTATTCGAATGAAACTACCGAACACCCAGACCTCCCCTGTGTGAAGTGTGTCCTCAATTACCCATTGCAACATTGTTGCGAACGGGTAATTGAATAGTAAGTAGCCGTCCTTTGTTCTCGGGGGTGGCCGCCATTCGACAAACGAACACGTGGCGGCGGCCATTTTAAAACTCCCGAACAGCGGTGTTTTGCCGTCGAGTGTCTGGAACTAAAATCGGACACTCGAGTAGGCGAACACCGCTGAGACCTCCACAGCCCTGGTCCGTTCGGTTCCAAACTACCGAACGGCCCCTCGTTCGGTAGATAGAAAATACCGAACGAGGGGATTCAGGCGAACCCTCCCTAGCCTCTATAGCTAGAGGCTTTCGTGTATTTTGTTCCCTTATGCCAGGACCGACCGCAGGGCCCATTCGCATGGAACCTTATTCGGCTATATCAGTTAGTGCGGTCGGTCATTTTATTCCCTCCATACATTTCCCGAACCCCTGGTCTGATCTGGGTGATTTTTGGATATGTTGTTCACCCAGATCAGGGGTATCCGGGGATGTAGGATTTAAAGAGGTACCCCTACGTTTAGGGGTACATCCAGAAACGGGGGGAATTGGTGTGCTGGATAAGGGGATTATGATGCTGGCTGAGGGGAGGAGATGGGTGGGAGGTTACCAGGACAGGATTGGCTACTGTAATAATTACTGTAAATCCCTCCCTTGCATGGGAGCATGCTTTATAAGGAGACTGTGATTAAAGGCTTGTCAGTTATGCTCCTGAAACTGTGTGTCGTCCAGTTATTGGGATTGCTGTTGGGATATTGCTGTATTTTACCTGCTGGAAGCCTTGCCTGTGGATTTACTATTTACTTGTTCCTGAGTCCCACTTGGATTATAAGCGGAGATAACCTGGGTAATATTGCATCTCCGCTACACTGGGTATCTGGGTGATGGGGGTCGGTGTTAGCTGGGTATCTGGGTGATGGGGGTCGGTGTTAGCTGGGTATCTGGGTGATGGCGGTCGGTGTTAGCTGGGTATCTGGGTGATGGCGGTCGGTGTTAGCTGGGTATCTGGGTGATGGCGGTCGGTGTTAGCTGGGTATCTGGGTGATGGCGGTCGGTGTTAGCTGGGTATCTGGGTGATGGCGGTCGGTGTTAGCTGTGTATCTGGGTGATGGCGTTCGGTGTTAGCTGGGTATCTGGGTGATGGCGGTCGGTGTTAGCTGGGTATCTGGGTGATGGGGGTCGGTATTAGCTGGGTATCTGGGTGATGGCGGGGGTCGGTATTAGCTGGGTATCTGGGTGATGGGGGGGTCGGTATTAGCTGGCTGTTACCTGGGTATCTGGCTGTTACCTGGGTATCTGGTTAGCTGGCTGTTACCTGGGTATCTGGCTGTTACCTGGGTATCTGGTTAGCTGGCTGTTACCTGGTTAGCTGGTTAGCTGGCTGTTACCTGGTTAGCTGGCTGTTACCTGGGTATCTGGTTAGCTGGCTGTTACCTGGGTATCTGGTTAGCTGGCTGTTACCTGGTTAGCTGGGTATCTGGCTGTTACCTGGTTAGCTGGGTATCTGGTTACCTGGGTATCTGGTTACCTGGGTATCTGGTTACCTGGGTATCTGGTTACCTGGGTATCTGGTTACCTGGGTATCTGGTTACCTGGGTATCTGGTTACCTGGGTATCTGGTTAGCTGGGTATCTGGTTAGCTGGCTGTTACCTGGTTAGCTGGCTGTTACCTGGTTAGCTGGCTGTTACCTGGGTATCTGTTTAGCTGGCTGTTACCTGGTTAGCTGGGTATCTGGCTGTTACCTGGTTAGCTGGCTGTTACCTGGGTATCTGGTTAGCTGGCTGTTACCTGGGTATCTGGTTAGCTGGCTGTTACCTGGGTATCTGGTTAGCTGGCTGTTACCTGGTTAGCTGGCTGTTACCTGGGTATCTGGTGGCTACCTGGTTAGCTGGGTATCTGGCTGTTACCTGGGTATCTGGTGGCTACCTGGTTAGCTGGGTATCTGGTTAGCTGGCTGTTACCTGGGCTGGCTGTTACCTGGTTAGCTGGCTGTTACCTGGGTATCTGGTTAGCTGGCTGTTACCTGGGTATCTGGTTAGCTGGCTGTTACCTGGGTATCTGGTTAGCTGGCTGTTACCTGGGTATCTGGTTAGCTGGCTGTTACCTGGTTAGCTGGCTGTTACCTGGTTAGCTGGCTGTTACCTGGTATCTGGTTAGCTGGGTATCTGGTTAGCTGGCTGTTACCTGGTTAGCTGGGTTATGTTACCTGGTTAGCTGGGTATCTGGTTAGCTGGCTGTTACCTGGGTATCTGGTTAGCTGGCTGTTACCTGGTTAGCTGGCTGTTACCTGGTTATCTCGGTGACAGATTCCCCGTCCAGCTGACACGAGCTGTTTCACTCAGGTTCACAGTAGAAGCGAGCTCCGGATTGGGCGGGGTCAGAGCAAGCTGCGCGGTGATTGGTTGGAGATATTCTGCTTCCGCCTCACTTCCGGTAACTGCTGCTCTCTAACGCCAGGCGCCGGTTTCTATGGCAACAACAACGCTTACCATAGAGATCTAAAGACAGTCTGGGACAGCGAGAACCGCGCCTGGGGCGG